TTCGAGTGCAAGTATAACACAGTACGAGTATCTATGCTGTGCATTCTGAAGACCAGAGATCCGAGAGCTGCGAGTGAGGGCGTCTGGCAGTTGGGTTCTTAGTTCTTGGTTCTTAGAATTTAGAGGTCACTCGTGTTCAGCTACCACTCGACTGCAACTGCAACTCGACTGGGTATCAGCTTGGGTATCTCTTTGTTACTGTTTCTCGACCTGCCAATGCAGCCAAGCGAATCATTCTGCGGCGGCTGCCAGTCCAAATCAAAACTGAAACAGTTTGCGGTATATTCTTGGCACAAAACTGTCAATTATGACGAGGGCTAACCAAACACAATCCATTGGCCCCAAAATGGTTTTGAAAGTTCACCCATTCGAGTGGCGAAACTCTGACGGCTCTTCCTCTCTGCAGAATGGTATGGAATATTTGACTATTTGGTCATCCGACCAATCCGACAAATCCATATAAGTTCATTAATGTCAACGGACAATGCGAACCCACCCATTCGCCCGCTAATGACACACAAAGCAGACGAAATAAAATTATAATGAATAAATAACAAGGAACACAAGCGCACAAACAGAGCGCGATATGCGGAGAGATACAAATGTATCTGCTGCTGGCTGGCTGGCTTGCAAAAGAAATATGTAGGTCAATTTTGTAATAAACTAGACGGCAAAAGGCAGAAGTTTGTGCGAGATTCCCAGTTACCCCGCTTTCCAGCTGCCCAGCTTCCCAGCCAGAATCCGTCGGAATTAGAGCTGCAAATGATTTCGGCTGATTCCAGGCGGCACCCAGAGTTATGACCCCCTCTCTCTTTTGGCTCTATTCTTTTTTTTTTTGTTTGTGGCCAAGTCTTTTGGCCAAGTCAATTACCCTGAGTTGGGTAATTGGCCCCAGTGCCGCTCGCAGCTTAACTGTTAATGGGCGCTTGACTTGGCTTAACGGTAACAGAAGCCACCGCTCTGCGACTTTTTTGGTCAATGAGCTTCGGATTTGGATTCAGATTCAGATACAGATACAGATACAGATGCCGCCTATCTGGGTATCTGGGTATCTGAGTAACTGAGTAACCGAGTATCTCATGGATACATATAATATTTTAGTGGCTGTGCTAGTTTAGCCCCGCTCGGCAGATGATTTCATGCTTTTGAGATTTAATTGTTATTCATTCGCTCTGTCGTCTGTGTGTTCGTGCTTTTTTTTATATTTCGTTTTTATTTTTTTTTTGTTTTTGTTTCTCTGCCTTACGTTTTAGTTTCATTTTTGGCTTTGGCCAAACCTTGAACCGCACGCGTTCAGTTTATTGGCCGCTTTTTTACTACAAATACCGTTCGTTCGCTTCGCTTGGCTTCGACTGACTTTTCGATGATGACGCCGGCGAACGTTGATTATGACGATAAATATCATCATCGGCGTTCTGTTGGTTATTCGGTGGGTAGGCAGGTATATATTTGCCCAGGCCCAGGTATGTATCTAAGTCCTCCTTTTCCTGCTCCTGCTCCCTCGCCCATGATAAAGGTGAAGCCTGGCCAAAAAGTTGCTGCCTACTTAACCCAGTTGTTCTGGCATATCAATTATGTATTACTGCTTTTGCTTACCCTTTGCCTCGAGCAATTTAATTTGCCCAACTAATTTCCAGAGATTTATACTTTAGGGTATCTATGGCATAACTATCTAAGGTTGATGCAGACAACTAAATAAGAAGTTATAAAAGTAACTTAAAGATTCCCAGATGAGGCTTCGTTTTAATCATGAATGGTTAGTATACATGCTATAGGGTTTTATAAACAATTTAAATAAATTATCTTTCCATACGTTTGCTATATTCTAGGGTATTCCCCAGTCGAGATTTCCCCGGACATTGCATTTGATTCGCTTAGCAAAAAGCTGAAAACGCACAAGGACAACACTTAATGTTAATGAACTCGGCAAACAAGTGCACGAGTGTGAGTTCGAGTATCTCCAACTGTATCTGTGTATCCACGTATCTATGTATCTATGTAGCTATGTATCTCGGGGCATTGTTTGTATAGTTTTGCGAATTTGTCAACTATTTTATGCGAGGCCCCGGCCATATCGTATGTATGTGGCTAGATATGTAGATAGCCCGTGGCCGTACACACATAATGGCCACGAACCGATACAAATACAAATGTACACATGCACAGGCCGAGATTCGTCGAGATTCGTTCGAGATCCAAACGAAACCCGAGCTGAAGTCGCAGAAGCAGCTGCCATTTGGCCCTAATAGGAATCGGCTCTATGCACCTGTTCGTTCGCCTGGCTTTTTATGTTTCCGGTTCTGATTAGAAGCGGCAGCGGGAATCTCGATCCCGAGGAATGCAAATCAATTGCCCCACGGGCCAAAGGAGTCAAATCAAAACAGAAACGCACACACAAAAAAAAAAGAAAAACAAGAAGGAAAAGAAAAACGCCCAACCAGTTTCGCAATGCAAACCAGTTTTCCTCATTTTTTTTTTTTTTTTTGGGGGAGCCCAGTTGATGCAAAGGAAAATGGCAATTGGCGAGCGAATAGGAAGTAAAATTGGCCCACCACAAAGACACAGGAAGTGCGCTGACCCCGCGATTCGAGTGATTAGTCAGCCGATTGTCGAGTGATAACTCGATATTGCGTATACGCCATGTATGCTAAATACACACACAAACACACACACTCGCACAGCTTCTGTAACCCCGGATTTTCCCCCGGAAATGAAGCGAATAAAAAAAAGCATTTACCATTCAACTCCTGCCGCGGTGGGTATCCAAAAATAGGCTCCTTCACGATTTAAAATTCGGAAACTTCACTTAAGCTGGTTTTCTTTTCTTTTTCTTTTCTTTCTTATTTTTTTGCTTTAATTTCACTGCTCTGCTTTTGTTAAATTTTATTTTATTTTTGGGGCTAAAGAAGAGGAGTTCTTCTGCTCTGCTGGGGTTTTGAAATTCAAATCACACAATGCCCCGAAATCAATTTATGCAACCGCGAGAGGGTGCGGGTGTTTGGGCTTCAATATATATCTGTATTTCGCATTGAACGCACTTTTTTTATGTGGAGTTTTAGGCCGCGAATTGATACACAGAACGATGTTTGTTTGATTGCCAGCCAGCGTTGTTGCTGCTGGGTGGGGTGTTGCTGCTGCTGTTGCTTGATGTTGCTGCTGTTGCTGCCTGATGTTGCTGCCACTATATAATATTAAATTTTCGGAGCGTGTGCCGCGCGCTTTGAGCAACGAGAGACAACTGAAAACGACAGCGAAACGAAGGCAACGAAAAGTGGCCAACGCCGCACGCCTCTGCCGCTGTCGCAGTCGCTGCCGCTGCCGGCGTCGCTGCTTGAGCCGACGCAGGCAGTGGGGCCAAAGCTTTTACAGCTGAAGAATACACCAAGCAAAACAAAGAAGCGAAAAGAGCAGGCGGCTTGAAAATCGAAAAGGGATGGGGCTAAAAGAGCGAGAGAGAGGCCTATAGAAATCAGAAAGAGACGGCTGGAAAGAGAGCGCGGAGAGAGCTTTTGGCGAGGCAGAACTTTCGAGTGCAGCAGGAAGCGTTGCAGTTGCAGCGACGCCGGCAGAGCACCAATTGAAATTGAGTAACAAGATTTGTTGATGTTGCTGCTGTGTATGTTGCATGCAACTGCTGCTGCTGTTGCTGCTGCTGCTGCAATCTCTTGCTGCTGCTGCAAAGAAAAAAAGCTGTCTAACCGGTGTTAGATGCATTTGCATCTTTTTTTTACACGTTTTTCCTCAGCAGTTTGGCAACGTGGCCGCTGGCACAAAAAATCAAAATGAAAAACGAGCCAAGGAAAAGGCAGCCTCAGCTTTAGTCGAAGTTACATAAGCCTTGATTTAGATGATGGCTTAAATGTGCATGTATGCGTGAGCTTTGCAATAAGGAAGTGACTTTTCATGTCAGTGTTGCTGTTGTCGTTGTTGTTGCTGCTGATGTTGCTGTTGTTGCTGGTGTTGCAGTTGCTTGGCTTTTTCTTGGATCTGATTGCCCGGGGACAACAGGACGCATCGCTTGACAATTTCCTGCTTCACAGTCACTTTTCGATAGTTTTCCCACACAAACCGAATGACATCCGCTGGTTATTTGAAAATCAAGTCGATTTGCAATGAAAGTTTCGCCTTTGATAGGCTAAACGAGGCCGGGAAAGTTTCGTACACTTATGCAAGGCAAGTCACTGAGGAAAATGGTAACTACAACTATTGAATATTGAAAAATAAAATTGGATTTATTAGCATACCAAATTTGGAATTATTTCATACCAGCTATAATAAACACATTAATATACTTTACGAGTGCTATTATCAGGGCTTACTTCACATAGCCCGTAATTAAAAGAGGTATAAAACCACTTTTGAAGATTTAAAATTCACATTAGCTCTTGTTTTTGCATAATGAAGCCAACTAATTGAGGCCCTAACTAGTGCTAAACATGGGTGAAAATGCACTTTGGCTAAACCCCATATTATAGGTAAATGCAATAGAGTAGTTCTGGCTAATTTACAACATGCAGCGGTTAAATGTGTTTCAAGAATCGTATTATGAGCGGTTCCCTCTAACCCCGAACACTTCGCCGCTTCCTTTGGATTCTCGGGCAATCTGTACATCCCACTGCCCCTGGAAATTGCACGCGTCTCAAGTGCCGACTTCCTCCAGCGAGCGATGCAACAACCCCCCTTTCCAGCCCCCCCAAATGCCCATGCCCATGCCCGTGCCCTTTTTGGCATGTCAGGCACGTCTTAACACGCTGCCAGTTTTGATTTAATTTAGTAGCAACTTAAGATGAGGCGAAGGCTGGGGGAACTCGGGCACTCGGCGGAGCAGGAGGGAGCCACCATCGATCACGCTTCTCCGGCACCATAGCTATTGCCCTCATCATCAGCGTGGTCTTTATCGTTTCCATAAGGCTGTGCATTGAGATCAGGCGCAGATCAGCAGTCCGAGCAATTTACCATGCAACCTCAACCGCCGTCTTCAGCTTGATTAAGCAGTTAACTCGGAAACGGAGGAGCGGCGGAAGGTGGAAGGTGTTCCCAACAAGCCGTCAAAGTGGCCGCCACCATGATGATCATCATCATCGCCACCATCACCGTCATCTGTGGCCACACTCGAGAGCACACAGCTCCCCGCCTTTTCCTTGGCCCCTTTTTCCCCGGCCAAAAGGTCAACGCATTCTGCAAAATCGTAAAGGGAAATGCCACACAACAGCGGCAACAGCAACAGCAACATCAGCGGCAACAGCAGCAACATGGAAGCGGCGTGTTAATTGAAGACAGGCACCCCGGCAAAAGGGGGTTTCGAATGAGGCAGAAGAAGAAGAAGAGCGGGAGGGGGTAGGGGGTATAGCTTCATAGCTATATAGTATAGCTGGCCAGCCTGTTCGAAATCCAAAACGCTTCACTGATTTCTGCGTTGGCAGCGGCAGCGGCAACTCGCCGTAATGCAATGGTTGCTGCTGCTGCTGCCACCGCAGCGGCATTTGAAGTTGCTTCCTCATTTCTGTGGCATGCACAAGCTCATAACAGTGCACCAGGAGAAATTACTACCAACGAACTTATAAATATTCACAGAAAGAGGAAAGCTAATTAGCCACTGATAGCAGAAACAATTAAATATATAAAACATATAAAAATCAGCATAACGATAAAGCTAATTGGTATGTTTTTAATGAAGCAAAGAGATAAAAATATAATAAGTTACTCAAGCCACTGGTAATTCGTTGACTTTTCCCCACGTGTAGACTTTGATCTCAGCCTGATTTCCCGCTTCTGGCCATTTCAATTACAGCAAAAAAGACTTTTCCCGGCTTTGCATAGAACCAGCTGCAGTCCGCCCATTAAACTGCACCAAATTGGTCAAGTTTCGGCGTCTTCCGGGTGGCAGTTAGCCATCAACGACGCGTGAAGTGGCAGATGCAGCAGCAATATCATCAGCATTGCAGCAGCAGCAGCAACACCATCGAGTGCAGCAGCAACCCAAACAGCTGCTTATGTTATTGGCAGCTTAATCGAGGCACTTCAGCTCCCCAATTGCGCTCCCCACTTGGCTGATAATGCCCTGGCACTCGGTATCGTTGACGTCGATGGCCAGAATCGCGGAAGCGCCAAGAAAAATGCGTGCTGCTGTTGCTGCTGCTGTTGCTGTTGTTGCTGGTGTTGCTCATCTTGGTGTTGTTGCCGCTGGGCGTTGAACCCAAAGGCGGGTGCAATTGCCGCCGCCTCGGGCGATGCGTTGTCAACTATGTACTTGTGGGGATGGTGGGGTTGTGGGGGGAAGTGGGGGGAATTATGGGGAATGGCTGCGCATCATAATCATTTATTTTCGCACTAGACAACAGCTCAAAGTGCGCTGGCTAATTTTATAAACTCCTTTTCTTCTGCATCGCCAGTGATTTGTTTTTCGCTTTACATTTTTTGCATATACTCTGCTGTCTTTTTTATGATATTTACTAAGACATTCTTATGCCGGGCACGTTGGTCGGGGGTTTTTCGAGGGGGAAAAGCACTCGGAGGGGAGTCCGCAGTGACTGACATTTAGAAGTCAACGTTCGGGTGGCTTTGTTGCTGCTTTTGCGGTGGCTCTGCTGTCATTGTCTTTGTCAGCCAGCCACCCAAGCACCCACCCACCCACTGATTCACCCTCCGTTTGAAGCCCCCTCTAAGTGTGCGACATTTCTTGGCAATTTGTCCGATGGTTTACGACGTTAATTGTGTGCCGAGAGCGGGGGTTCTATAATTGCCACATGCGATTTCAATCGGACGACGACAAGGGCAATGATTGCTAATGATTTCTAATACCTTTTGATGCATATAATAAGCTGTGCTGTTTGCAAACCACAAAAACGTATCTATTCCAAGGAATTTCCCACGAACAATGACAATTTTTGTATCTTATTTGCCAATTTGCTCACCTGCGATGTTCTCATTTGGGGTAAATAGAAGCAAATTACGCATAAACTCAGTGGAAAGATACTGACTCACGAAAAATGTAAATTTCCTTAGTTGCAAGTGATGCAGAAATGTGCAAATTGCACACCAAGCTGTGAATAAACGTTTGTTGTTAAGGGTCACAGGGTTCAACAAACTCTGAGATACGCGGAATGTGATTAAGCAAAAGTATGGAAACAAAGCTTGGTTTCATTAATTTTTTGAGGATTCGAAAAGAGTCACTTAAATTCGTTTTAAGAATTTATTCACATGGCTATTTATGTGCCAGCATACGTAATTAGAGGTTCTTCAATTTATTACTATAATTTAAGCTCCCTTTTCGCCGCCAAAAGTCGCAAAATAACAGCTTTTATGATAATTATACGTTTCGGCTAGTGTTTTATTTCGTTTTTGCAAACTTAGCAAGGCGACAAGGTGTTAATTGAACTATAAATAGAGGGACAACTGCAGCAACAATCGGCGGCAACATCTACCGGGCGGATACAAACGAGTTTGGTTGTAATTGGCGTACAGATTGCTCGCGTCGCCAGCGATGTTGCTGCGGGGCACGCATGCGTAACACGGCAGCAACATGCGACACACACCAAAGAACAATGAGCCGCAACAAAGGCGATTGCATAAATTAACATTAGCAATTAGTCAAAGGAGAACATGCTGCAACAGCCGAGGGCAACGACAGCAGCAGCAGCAACATCGACAACAACTCACTGTCCAACAGCAACGTCAGGAGATTGACTCATTCACCTGCAACAGGTGCGGGCGAATTCCCCTTTTGTTATTATATTAAATTGCTTAACGATCGGTTTTTCATTTCTGGCTGAATTGTTTACTCAACTTTACAGCTTATGCAGCCAGCCTGGCGAATTGTTTACAAACGAGTCGCGCGGCAATAACAACACTTTAAATACGTAATTAAAAAATTAAATGATGTTTCAGCGGCTACAAATTTTTTGGCAATATTTTACATATTTACTTTCCGCTGTGTTGTTTGTGTTCTTGTTTTTATTGCATTTTGTGTTTGCTGTTGTGGCTGATTTGTTTTGCCAAAAGTCATAAACACTGCGAGCATTGGACTTTGGTTTCAGTGTGGATCCAAGGGGGGGCAATTCCGGAGGGGATTTGGGCGGGAAGTTGGGCAATGGCAGCGGAAGCAGCAACAACGGCAACGAACGACAACTGAAAGTGAAAGGCGCTGGGGGAATTTCAAAGGAAGCGGAAGGCTGGCGCTCTGGGAGTTCAGTTCGAAATCGGAATCGAAGTCCGGAGGTTTGCTGAACTTCGTGAGGAAGTCAGCATAGGGTTGAATGCCACCCAGTATGATTGATAATCACAAACTGTTAGCTTTAACGTGATAATTGCAGACAAATAAAAATTTTCGAAAATATTCTCACGTGTTTGTTACTGGATGAAACTAGATGGGTAAGGAACTTTTGGATGCGGGGTTTTATAAAAGATTAATTTATTAGTAATTTTAATATGGCACTTAGGTTCTTCTTTTTATCAACGGAGTTTAAAATGTGAAAAGAAAGATAATAAGTTTGTAAGCATGTAACTTCAAACATTAAATCCCCTCGAATAAATTGATTTAAATTTTCTGACCGTGCAGTGTTTATGAAATTCTGACAGCCGGCAATCAAAGACCGCACAACATTTCCGAATGTTTTCTTGGCATTCTCGGCCGCTTTGCCTATTGCCAAATAATAATAAAATTTCGCGAGCGAAACAATGGCAAAATAAAGCTGTGGCTGTGGGCAAACTTTAATGTAACCGACGGCCAAACAAAAGACAATTGTCAGAAGCGCAGAAACAGAGCGAGCAGCCACAATGGGCCGCCAGTCAAAGAACCAACTAGCAACAACTGGCAGGCAACAACCAGCGACCAACAACCAGCAAGCAGCAAGCAGCAACCAGCAACAATGAGCATTCGCACTCCGGTACAACTGGCAACGGGGTCTGGCTTTATTTTTTTTGTTTTTTGGATTTGGATTGGCCCGAGTTGGCAACTGACCCAGTTTACGCCACAATTATAAGCCTGTCTTGCTCTCCGGCCTTTGTTGTTGTTGTTTTTGTTGCTGCGGTTGCTGCTGTCACTGCGCAGGCGCAGCGGCAACATGAAGTTTTTGGCAGCAACAGTTTCGTTTTGCACTCGATTTTGGGCGTCTAGAAGAGTCGTGGCAACGAATCTCGGATCTTTGTTGCTGACATTTGATAGTTGGCTTTCAAATTGACTACAATTGAGTCGAGAGCAGTTTGATTCTGTGTTACTGTGTCGCCTTGGCGGTTGATGTTGCTGTTGTTCATGTTGCTGCTGCTGATGTTGCCGCTGGCAGCGACAGCTCTGTGCCCATTCCCAAGCAGACAGTAAACAGTCAACAGCAGACAACCAGAACTTTGTCCAAAAACTTCTCCGGCCCCCTTGCCGCTTTAATTGCATTTTGATTTGCGGCCAATTTGATTGACGGCAGCATTAGAAGAATTAGCTAGAAGAGGAAAGCGGAGAAAGAGAGCGAGCCGGAAACTTTTCAATTAGCCAACTCAGACAAATCTTCTCACATAAACCTAATTACTGCCGGAAATCTTGCAGCCTATTTCGGTATGATTGTGGAGAAAAAACTTCTGTTGCTCCGAGAATAATGGAAATTTTCTATCTAAATCATGAACAACAACAAGTATTTTCTTTTTTTTTACGGTTTTTGTATTGTATATTCACCATAAAGAGATTACCTTTTAGTTTTTAAATTTTAACTTTGAAGTTACGTGTTTCAAAAGCAAGCTAAATTTACTAAAAGAGAACAATAAAATAAGGCAAAGTAATTATAAAAAAGTTATTCGCAAAGTTGCATTCCGCTTCTGCCATTTTCGCTTCCATGTTCACTTTATTTCAACTCTTTATATTAGCCTAAATGTGAACAAATATAACTGAAAGTTTATCAAATTGTTTGGGAAATAATTGGCTTAGGCAAAGGGAGGCAGATGTTGCTGCCGGCATGGCGTGGTTGCTGCTGTTGCTGTTGCTGCTGCTGGCAGCGATGTTGATATTGCCACAAAATGCCGCATGCCGGCATGAAAACTTTGGGTGTGTGTGTGTGTGTTATGTGCTTTATGTTTGACCCAAATTCCTGCAGAGCCATGCAAAGTGTTGCTGTTGACGTTGTCGGTGTTGCTGCTGCTGTTGCTGCCGCTGCTGCTGCTGCTGCAACATCCGAAATGCAATTTCTGCTTGGCAAGCATCGCGCTATTTTACTTTTTTTGCATTGTACTTTGTGCCACTGCCAACAAAGCTTTGCAAATTAAATAAAAGTCATGCCACGCCCACTCATATACACACAGGCAGCATAATTGCATTTGTTTTTTGCTGCCAGAAGGGAAGGGGTGCGGGGTAATAATGGCTTGACCCATTAAAATCCTAAAACTCCACCGTTTGCACGGGGAATCGCTGAAATTAAAGTTAGTTTTGGGCTTTCAGCGAATTTAGCAGCTCTCTGAGCCAACTTAATTGGAAAATCTCTCACGGCAAATGCAACAGCAACAGCAACAGCAACTGCAACTGCAATCGGCCATCAGCAATTGCCAGCTGCAGCATTGCAGTAAGCCATAAGCCGTAATAACCCCATCCGATTCGACAAAGTCTGTGGCAAAGTCTAATTAAAGCGAGCAAGCAAAAATCAAAAGGCGCCTCGAAAGTGCAACCGCCCACCGACAACAGCAACAGCAACACTGTAGGCGCAGCAGCAACATCCCATTCATGCCCAAACAAAACTTGCCTCAAAAGCAATTTAAGTAAATTATTGAACTTTCCATATGCACTGGGGCAATGGAAAAGTCGCAAGGAAAAAGCCAGCAGGAACGAAGAATCTCCAAAGTGCCGGCGGGTTGGGAAAATATGGAGAACGGAAAACTTTTTAACCCTGAATCGAAGCTGCTATGCTCTGCGAGAGCACATCGTCAATCTGGGTAAATAAAATATGGCTGGGCAATGTAGTTCATGGAGTAACGATGGGTTACAAATGATGATGATGTAAGTTTTAAGACCTCTTTCCCATAAAAATGTTTTATTACTGCTCCAATCGCAGAAGTTGCAGAGGAATATGATTGACTTGGTGGGGTAGTAAATGAACCATTAATAGTTAGCACAATTTAAAATTCTAATAAAAAATATCATTTGTTTACGAAGATACTTAAAAAAAAGAACAAGGTTAGTTTTCCATTTTACTAAATTTAAGTTTGAATGTTTCCTTTATAATATTAATAGAATTAGTGTAACATTTCAAAGCATTAAAAGTCGGCTACAAGAAAAATCTGTGCAATGCAAGCCCATTAACTCTGGTAAAAGCCAGCAACACGACTTGGTTGTGTGGGTCGATGGAGATTTCCTTGTGGCTCACTTTGCGTGGGCGTTGAGGAAAATTAAGGAAATGTTTGCTCAACACTGTGGGCCCGAGCTCTTTGTGAGACAAATGCCATAAAAAATTGCAACAAATGTTGCAGCCAATAGACTTGGCTAATAAATGTTGCTCGCGTGCAGCAAAGGCGACAGCGACAGCAACAGCAATACCAACAGCAATAGCAACAGCAACAGCAACAGTGACAGCAGCAACACACTCGCCCGTTGCCTGATTTTATGTGCCGCTCTCTTGTTTCCGATCTTTTTGGGCAATTAATTGCGCAACATAAAATAAATTGCATTTGAAAGCCAAGGGATCCCTGGAGCAGTTGCTGTTGCAGCTTTTGCTTATGTTGCTGCTGTTGCTATTGCTGTTGCTGTTGCTGCTGCTGCTGCTGTCGCTGACAACAGTCATAAAAACTAATTTCGCTGTTGGTCCGTGGGTGGATTTCGTCTTAGCAGGAAGCATTTTCCCAGCCGGCTGGGGGAAAATTTGTGGCTAACCCGACTTCAACTGCATTTAAGCCGTGGTTTCCGACCGCCTCACATTGCTGCGGCGAGTCTGGAGTTGTTTATGGGTGCTTGGCTAAAAGGTTGGGCGGATTGCAAGCCCCTTTTAAGCCTGGATGAACGGCCTCTGCCCGCGAATTGAGTTTTTAAACGGACGAATTATCTTAAGTAAAGGTTTTACAGCGTTTTAGCAGGCATTAGCCAACTGGTTAGCGGATGCTCGCTGATTCAATTATTGGGAGTGGAGCTATTAATCTTTAACTTGGGAAGCTAAAAGAAGGCTTGCACAGTCTACAATTTGGATTTATTAAGGAATTGTCTGTCATGAGTTATATTGGTTTTTTATTACTTCCATTAATGTCTAGTAATCTAGTAATTATAGGTAATAATAATATGATATTTTATTGCACTAAAAATCGCTTTAGAGTTTTACTTAATCAGAGCTACGTATCTTTTGTTTCTTTCTGTGTAGGTTAAATTGCTATTCTAAAGTTTTATCTCGGAGTTGCCAATTTCCACTGACAGCCAACTGACACAATCTGCGATCTTTTGGCAGAAATCTGCCAGTGGTTTCGCAGCTAATAAAGTTATCAGGGGAACCGAAAAAGCAAAGAGGTGCAGCCTCCCCTTCACTTTGGCTTGCGAGTCAGCGATTCAAACGGTTGGCAATTGCCTTCTGGCTTAATCATATTTCTCGGTTGCTGAAGGCATATCTTACTATAGTTTGGGCTTAGTACTTACAATCGCGGCTCATGCCAGCGGAGAGGCATTTCTTGAAGCGGCAATACTGGCAGCGATTGCGATTCAGCCGGATGACCAGGCACTTGCCGTCCCTCAGGCAGCGGTACTCGATTTGCTTCTGTATGCTGCGACGAAAGAAACCCTGCCAAAAAGCAAACAAAAATGCAGATTTCACAAGGGTGAACACGCTGACCCGTAACTCACAACTCACCTTGCAACCCTCGCAGGAGGTTACACCATAGTGGTAGCCCGATGCCTTGTCGCCGCAGACTTTGCAGGGCACAAATGACTTCGAGGAGACTCCGTTGCTGTTGTTGTTGCTGTTGCTGCAGTTGTTGTTGTTGTTGCTGCTGCTGCCGTTGCTGTTGCTGCTGTCGGCGAGGCCGAAAGATTGCTGCTGCGGGTGTTGCAACTGCTGTTGCTGCTGGTGTTGCTGCTGCAGCTGCGGCGTCGTCTGTTGCTGCTGCTGCTGCTGTTGCTGTTGCTCTGCAAGGGAAAAATGCAATGCATCGGTTACACATTTCCTCCGCTGCTGGAAAGTTGTCCGGCTGGTCGCTTATGTAATGCCACATTGCTCATACGCCGCATGTGCAACAGTTTGCTGTGCAGTTTGCGAAATGAGCTGCTCGCCAGTATCGCACACTCGCCATCTCCCGAAGTGTCACACTTGCAACACTGGGGCAGCCACAATCAATCGACAGCCGTCCGAAACTATTGAGTTTACACACCTCCTAATGGCTAAATTACATTTTTCCGACTCCCAATCTTAATCATCCTTTAGCCGGCTGGCAATCAAAGTCAAATGCAGCGGCCACAAAGTGCATTCAACTCGACGGCGATGTGCGATAAGAAGAAATGCCAAAAATCACGTATACGCCACCGCCTACAATAAATTGCCTGTAAAAACGGCAGTCACGAGGAAAAACTGCAGCCGCACAATTTTCACTGCGAGAGCCGAAAAAATTTGCATTGCAAATTAGGAAAAAAAAAAGAAGAAGAAAAAAACAACAACAACTATAAGGAAAAACAGAGAAGCAGTCAGCAAAGAAAAACTGGAGCCAGACAGCAGTGTTTGCTTCTTGGCATTTCATTTCGAATTCAATTTGACTGCATTTCTTGCTTTTATTTTTCGCTTTTCTAATGCAAGAGGAAGAGGCAAATGAACTAAGCGCGGAGTTTGAACTGCTGGGCGGTGTTGCTGGTTATTGGTGTTGCTGCTGGCTGCTCGTTGGTGTTGCTAGTTGCTGCTGCTGTGCCAATTGGCGTTGCCACACCTCAAAAATGCGAAACAAAATGAAATTAATGTGCAACTTGCACGCGCCGACAATCAGGCGAAAGGAAAGAAAACGAAAAGATTTTCCCGCACAGAAAAAAGTTTCAACAGATTTTATTACTTCCTAATCTCTTACAAAATTGTTTCTTGACTTTACTACGCCTAAAATAATCCTTTGAAATGAATCAAATTTTATTTTATTTATGTTTTATCCACTCAAGATAGAAGAGGTACTTTAAAAATACTTTATTACATTTCTTTAGAAAATAATTAAAGTACAACCAATATCTTTTCAGTGCATTGCGCGTTACGCGCTTGTGCAATTGCAAATTGAATTTTCACCATTGGACTGTCGGGCCAACAGCAACAACAACGTTGTCTGGAAAATGTCGTCGGCCCGGGCAGGAATGAAAAAAGAAAAACCCAAAGGAAACTCAAGTGCCTGCTTTTCATTTTCGCGCCGCGTTCAAATGCAAATCATTTGGTGGCTTTTGTAAGTTGACAATTTGAAACGCCATTGTTTACCCAGCCGAAGAAAAAGGGGTGCTGGCTGTGGGCCGGCGGAAAACTGCTTGGCATTTCCGCGTTGTCAGACATCTCAGAGGCAGGCCACGGACTCTACGATAGACGACAAAGACTTCATATTTTCCTCGATTTTTTCCATTCCCATTTCCATTTCCATTGGCTGCATTTATCTTTTATCTGGGCGAAGACAACTGATTGAGTGGGGAGTGCATATAGCGAATGGCAGACATTATTCACCGTAGTAAATATCAATTGGAGTGGCGAGGAAAAGTAGTCAAGTTTTCAGCTTTTCCTTGATGAATTCCTATTTGGTTTCGCAGTGATTTAATTTCTTTGCAATTTGCATTCGCCTGTAACTGCCCGCACTAATTGCTGCAATTAAATTTTGCCGTTGTGGGCCGCAAATGAAATCCTTGCCAGCAAGTCCAGGCAATTAGCAACTCTGGCCAAGACAAATTTTCCCAAGTGCCTATGGTTTTTATGGTTGACGGAGTGTGCACAGAAAACACAGAACTTATGCTTGGTGACACATTAAAATAATTTAATTTGTCTTATGATTATAAACTCTTCAAAATTGAAAGCATTTGTACAACTAATAAAATAGTATGAAAACCTTTTTAATCACTTCTATATTCAACTATTTAATTGTTATAATATTAAGTTTATAGTATCCAAGGTGTTTATTTAAATATATTTATATTTTTTGTTTTAGGTGGTAATTACTTTTAAGTCGCATTTAATATTTCAATAGCTTGGATTTCTTTTCCGTGTTGCCACCAGCTGACCATAATAGTTATTAAACCTAATTTTTGTTGCATTTTACGGCTTGGCTCCCGCCCAGTCCCAGTTCCTATTCCATTACGGCAACGAACGAACGAACAACTCCTGGCCAGCTTAGCCCATTCAAAAGCCATATCCGAGGCAATCCAAAAGCCAAGACCAATTCAACGCGATTTATGAAAATGAAAACATTTTTGCCATGGCTTTCAATTGCACCCAATCGCAATCGCAACGGCTACGGCAACGGCGACCACATTGACAGACCTGAAACATGAAAAGCAATTTCCTCGAAGGAAAGAAAGGCAGCACAGAGAGAGAGAGTGAGACGGCAAGACAGCCATTGGCCAATAACAGGGAATTATATTCATTTTCACATTTTTCATGCTGCGCTTTAATAGTTTCCTCAAAAGGAGAAGAAACCGAAGCCCCAACGACTTTCAATTGCTGTTGCTGTGTTATGCAATGAATGCAAATTTATTGAACATAATTTCCAGCAGCGACAACAATGGTCCGCAGATGAGACGACAACGCGGAAGAGTCGCTAGTTGCAAGTTGCAAGTTGCACGTACATACCTTTGTTTAGATGCGCAACAGATGAAGATGTTGCTGTGGGGTTGACGTTGTTACTGCTGCCGTTGTTGCTGTTGCTGTTGCTGCTGATGCTGCTGCTATTGTTGTTGTTGTTACTGTTGCTGTTGGTGTTGCTGCTGCTGACCGCTGACGAGGATGTATGAGCGTGGCCGCTGACATTGACAACTGCACTCCGTGCGAAGTGATCCGAGCAGCTGGACGACGACGAGGAGGAGACCGCGTGGGAGGATGATGACCCCGAGGATCCGCAGGAGCCCGTTGATCCGGAGGAGGAGGCCGACGAGCAGCCGCTGTCCGGCGATGAGTGGGCGCCGCTGGAGGAGGGGGAACTGCTGCTGTTGTTGTTGTGGCTGCTGGCCGGACCGAACTGATGCACACTGCTGATGGTGTACAGAGCACCTCCACCATTGCTCAGCGTGGAGCAGTTGAGCTGATGTTGCTGCTGCTGGCTGGGGTGTTGCTGCTGTTGCTGTTGTCGCTGTTGCTGATGCTGGTGGGAGTGCTGGTGCTGCTGTTGCTGCTGCTGCTGCTGTGGCGTAAGACCAACTGCCACACTCTCCACTGGCGCCGCTGCTCTGTAGAAATCGTCGCACTGCAGCAACTGCAAGGGATCCGCTTCGATGGCACTTAGGCAATCCTGCAGCTCCCGATGATGTTGCTGCTGCTGCTGTTGCTGCTGCGTAGGCTGTTGGTCCTCCTCTTCCTGCTCGGAGTCCAAGCTGTTGGCCTCGCTGTAGGCCCCTTGGGTGGACGAGTCCTCGGGTGTGTCAAAGAAATGCAAATTGAAGTCGGAATTTGCATTAAAATTGACCACCGGCACAAGGGCTCCTTCGTCCTCTTCCTCCTCCTCCTCCGCCTCTTCTTCCTCTTCTTCTGCCTCGTCGTCTTCTTCCTCCTCCTCCTCCTCCTCGTCTTCGTCCCCTTCGCTTGGTTGTTCCTCGTTCCGAGCAAAGTCCTTGATTAGGTCCTCCTCCTTGACCTGGAGCTGCTGCTGCTCCGCCGAAGAGTGCTTCACACCGGTTTCGACCAGAAGATTGGAGCGGATTTGTGCCTGTGCCTCCAGCTCTATTTGGTATACATCCATGGTGCTCGGATCGGATCGGTTAGATGGCCATCCATCATCTTCATCATCGTCCTGCTGGCGGAAATCGATGTTGGCAACCCGCGATGGCGCCTGCTCAGCATTTTTGTGGAAAATCCTTGCGACGCTTTATTCTTTGGCACTTTATGGGGAATTCAAAAAAAAAATCCGGAGGGATTGTGAAGTTTCTGTTATATTCACGGTTTAAATTAGGTTAAAGCTGCGGCTTAATCGGAAAAAAGAATCTAAACTTTAGCATCTTACGGAGTCCTCTAAGCAACGTTTTTTAGGCAATTGGTTTATGCTTTTAGGTAATTAAATTTTACAGCCCACTTCCCTTGAAAGTTTATAGATATCTTAAAAGCCTATAATAGGTACATAACATAAAGTCAACTTTTTCTGACATTTTTAGAAAGGGTTTTGTTATTAAAAAAAAAATTAACCCCATTTTCGAAATTTAAATAAAATTCATTAAAGCAACCAAACTTATTTTTAGAAGAACTATTTTATTTATTAATCTTTCAGATTTAATAGTATTTACAGAAAACCTAAACGATATTTTTCGGATAATTTATTAACAGCCTAAACAAGCTTTTAAATCTGAACGCTATCCCCATTTCACATTATGGCAGCATGACAAATTGCCCTCCCTAATTTGTGTGTGCACAATTTCCCACAAATGTCTTAATTAAATTATCACTTTCAACCCCCATTTCTCCGTCCCAGTCCCGCTTCTTTTTATTGGTCACTTGCACTCCGCAATCGTAACAGCATTTTATTATTGCATAAATTTTCAATTCACTTCCGTGTTGATTTCGAAGTCCTTCGTTTCCAAGTTCAAGCGTGATCCGAAAATCGGCCGATCGGTATATTATGATTTATATTCGTTGTGGGGCGGCACTCGCGACTCGATTTTTTTTTGGGAGAAATGGTGATCGCGCGTACGAAACTCTCGCCTCGTCGAGATCCAAGCGCCAACTTCGCAGCGCTCCAAATGCGCCAGGAAAATCCAAGCCAAACTGCAGAACCTACGACAACACAGAAAAGTCCAAGACGACGGCAGCGACGCAGAAGAACAAGAACGTATGTGAGCTGGTCTGTGTATGTATGTATGGGTGTGTGTATGTGTGTGGAAAGAGCAGGAAAATAGAATGCAATGCGGCTGTGTGGCCCAATGGAGTGGGAAAACTGCGAAGCGCCGCCGCCGCAGCACGAGGCGAAATCTATGGAGGAGATCGAGGGAAAAGCAGGCGGCGAGAGCGAGTCAATGTTCTGCGAGCGCTGGAGCTTCTATCTTTCTAATCTCCACAAGCAGCAACAGCAGCAACACAAGCTGCAACAGCAACAACCAGGGAAACAACAGCAGCAACACAACACAAGCTGAAGCCACAAGAACAACAGTCCCGGCAACAACATTAGAAGCTGCCACACCAATACCACCTTTAACATCAGCTGCAACAGCAACAGGAACACTATATACAGTAAAAGCAACAACAGCAGCAGCAACACTGTCGGCAACAGCAGCAACTATTGCAGCTACGGCAGCAACAACTCGACTTGCAACAACAACATTCAGTGCCACTCTCGCTGCCTTCTTGTTGTTGTTGCTGCACTTTTCCGTTTGCAAACTCTTTTCCTGGTTGCTATTTTCAATTTCTATTGCCGCTGCCGACGTCGCTGCCTGCGTCGACTTCCAACGTTTCCAAGTGCAGCCACACTCCACTCAAGATCAATTTCACACACACCATTACGGCGAGAGCGAGAGAGCGAACCGTTACTTAGTTTGCACTATTCCCGAGGGAGAGGGCAATAGAATATGGGTGATTACTTGTCCGAGCGAGAAAGAGAGGAGGAGCAAAAGTGGGGGCGCCTTAAAGGGGGGTCAAAGAACTTTCAGCTGAGCAGGCGAGAAAGAGAAAGGAAGAGCGGCAGTTGGTTCTCCGAGTGGGAGAGAAAATTCTGCAATGCGGAAGTTTAAATGTTGCATGTTGCTGCTGCGTTTTGGGATGAGTTTTTCCCCAAAAGAAAGTGGTAAACTTTAATTTTTGGGCACAAGAAAACTCTCTTTAAAATTAATCTTTGAAGATCAATGAAAAGTTGTTGAGGAAGTAATTTTACTGTCTAGTGTTGCATGTAGCTTCAGTTTTTACAGTTACAAAAAGGTTGTAAACTTGACACTTAACCGTTTAAAATAGTTTTTAAGATTTGTAAAGTAGTGCAAAACATATTTCATGGGTTGCCAAAAATTTCAAAGTACTCGAAAGTAAGCACCCAAATTCCCTATTTTGGGTGATGCCCTTACTTTTCCCCATTTTCCCTAGCCCATTGCACAATTTCCCTGACGAACGCCTGGCGCAAAAGGGAACCAACGAAAGTCAATGATCAGCGGCAACGGCGACGCCGACTGCATGCTAGTTTGCCATTTTTCCAACGGGCAGCGAAAGCAACCAGAAACTGTAAATAACAAGAAAACGGCAACTGGGCAATCGGCGGAGCTATATATCCACGATCCTCCGCGAAAGCGAAAAGCCGAAGTACGGCGACCAATCGAAGCGATAACTCCGCCGCCCCCACCGATCCACCCAAGTCGTACTGGGCTATACTATATGTTCGATTGCGTCGGGCGATAAAACCTGATCTCCACAGACACACCGATGCGAAACGCACACTCCTTCAGAGACGCTCACCAACACAAAGACACGCGCGATGACGACGAACCAGGAAGAGAAAAATGAAAATGCCGCTCGCGAAGATTGTGTAATCGAATTAAGTGTGTTGGCTCTGCATGTGTGTGTGTGTGTGTGTGTGAGTGAGAGTTGTTTGGGGACAGGCGGGTGAAAAGGGGGGCTCACTATTCTTATTATTACTGCATTTCACTTATCATCAGCAGGGGGTGGGCAAAGGGGGAGGGGAGGGTGGTTGCCTTGGCTTCTTCGCTTTTTCGCGTTTTATTTATTTTGCTATTGTTGGCTCTACGTCGCCGCTCTAAGTTCAATGACTTGTGGGCAACGTCATGGGCAACATCTGAGGCAACAACAACACTATCTAAGGCGGCAACAACCACAATAAAAGCAACAACCGCAACACCATCAACAGTAGCAACAACTAGGCGCGGGCAGCAACAAAGTGGCGCAAAATGCGTTTAGTTATATTTATTTGCTTATTTTTTTGCCACTGCGGACAGCTTTTAGATTTTACACACAGAATCAAAATGGTTAGCAAATAGTTTTAAATCAATTATAATTTTACACCATTATTAATTTTTACATACCAAATAAAATTCTAAATTTAGATAACTTCTTCGAAAAAAGTTTTCCATTATTGCGGAAATCTTAAATCTTTTAAACCTGGCTAAGAACTTTTTATAGTTTTAGTCATACAAAGTTTGCTGTGTAGTTTCTAGATCTTAGACGCTTGAGTAGTGTCTTGTTTACTCTTCGCATTTTTCTTTCGCCACCATTTGTTGCTATTGTTGTTGAGGCTTGACTGATTTTGATAGCACTCGGCTGGTAAACAAACTTTGCCTCAGTGAGCGTTAGAAATTATCACTCGTTGGCCAAGCGAATGGAAGGAAAAATTGCGCTTAGTCGAAGATCAAACAATGGCCGAATTTAACCGGAACAGCAAACAACTGAAATTCGCAACTCAAGCTCAAAACTATTATATTTCCATCCCCATAACGCCGTCGTACCAGTGTCAGAATGCCAAAAATTACAAAGTGTAAAATGCAGAACTACCCATGCAAACTTTTCGAAAAACAAACTCTTACACGTGGAAAAAATTATAATCTTTAAAAGCCTATATATTCTTGTCTATTCTTGTATACAATTTTCACGTATTATTTACCTTCTGGTTTAACTAGATATAATTCTTTCCAAAAATATATATTATTGCTTATATCTACAATAAATCGAATAATTTCTTTAAGTGGTTGGCAGCAATCTGGCACAGATTGTGGCAGTGCGGGCTGGTATTTCTGGCCAACACTTTTCATTGGGTGCTGGTGGCATGTAGAGTAAACTAAGCCAAAAGTGGCGCAGAGTGGAAGGAACCGGGGGGCGGAAGGGGCGAGAGCTAGAGGCGGCGAATGTCAGCAACCTCAATAAAATGTTGCCGTTCGCCGGCATTTCTTCGCTCCCTAGGTCATGATCTGTTTCGTGGGCAGCTATAAATAACAGCCACCGGGAAATGCAATCAAACGGAGCGGTGGAGAGTCGTGGGCCAAAAGGCCGGCACTCGGACTCAGAATCGTACTCAACTTACCCAACAGGATGTCACTGCATCCCGATCCGGAGTGCGAACTCAGCGAGGAGACGTGTCCGTCCGACGGACTTTGGGGCGCTTCCCTCAGCGGACTGCTGGGCGTGGTCGGGGGCGTATTGAGGCAACGCTGGCTGCCCAAAGCTATCGACTGCGGTCCGGTCGGCGATTCAATCTTGAAGTAGCTACCAATCACAGACAGTCTGAAAAAATATGTAAATCAAATATAATAACTAAAATGTTACCTAAAGGTATTACTTATGTTTTAACAGTTTAATTTGTGAATTTAAAATCAAACAAGATATTATATGTCATTTTCAGAATTTTTAAACACTTCTTTGAAGATCGACACATCAAAACACTATTTTCATTTAAAATTTAATTGCCTCGGGTACCTTTTAATTTAATCCATTTATTTCCCTGCCAGAAAGTTTTGCAATTTACCCTGGGCGGCAAATATTTCCAGCTTGAGTTTCCACAATGTCAATGCCAAATGTAATTACAGCGAGCGAAGAGCCTCAATGTTGCTTAAAAATTCAAATAATTATCGTTAGCTCAAGTGGGCCGCACTGGAGCCGAATCCCTTGTTTATTTGCCTCGGACGTTTTCAACTCTTTTCTCTATTTTCCGACCCACTCCGCCACCCGCGCCTCTTTCGTACGTAATTGATTGGAAAAATGGCCATTCATGTTAAGTGCAGGCGGCTATGGCCATTTATTCCAAGAGATATATAGGCTGGTGGGCCAAGGGGGTTGGGGGTGGGAGCTTCTGTATCGGCCATCTCTCTCCTGGCACAATTCTTAACTCGTTTTGCCTCGTAATTGGCCATTTTCCCTAGTTCGGGCCCGGCACAGAATTTATTGAACATCAGCGTTTTGTGGGTGGAGGAAACACCCTCGAGAACGTCCAGTTTGCCGCCCACTTTGATCGATAGTTTGGCTGTGAAATTTTTTTTTGAAATTGAAGAGGACTTTGTTTGCTTTACCGGTTCTTAAAGCGGCTATAGAGATTTATTGCACTTGCAACCGAAGTTGATGGCACCAGGTATTAAGAGCAACAAATCCAGCTGGCCGTAAAAATCAAGTATACGCAATCTGCATTACTCATACGCCCTGTGGCTTAAGCCAAAACCAAAGCCAGTGCTTGCGGCAAAGGGAAAAAAATCAATAGATGCTTTGCATGTGCCGTCTTCTTGCCTTCTCCCTTCACATCCTGCGGCTGCTTTCGCATTTCCACATGTCCTTTTTGTGTATTTTTTTTTTTTTTTTTCTTGCCTTTCTCACTTTGTGGCTGCTGCTGATGCTGTTGCCTGTCATTGCATTTAGTTGCTATTTCCCTGTGTGAGTAGTTTGCCTTTACAATATTTCCACGTTGTTATGCACTTCACACAAGTGGAAGACACTTGGGTCTGCTGTTACTGTTGTTGTTGTTGTTGCTGCTGATGTGTTCCTGCTGCTTATATTGTCACAATATTTTCGCTTTTCAATGCGCCGCTCGAAAGCACAAGTGAAATATTTGCCCATGTGGCATTTTAGTTTGGCAAGGAGCCCTCTTCCATTTTCTTCGTGCTGTCTATTGTGCTGAAATCTGCAAAATGGAACTTTTGATTTATTCAGCCGCACATCGATCGCTTTAAGGATGCGTTTTTTTTCCCTTCCTTAGAAGTGCCTGCCTGTGTGGAGTAAATCTCATCATTTGCTATGCACTGTCGTCGTTTATTTCCATCCGCCTGCCATGTAATTTTCACATTTTTACTCATCAACGCCAACGTCATCTCCATGAGATGACTTGCCGCTAGGTCCCATTCTCCTCCCCCTTCTCCTCCGCCTCCCACATTCGCCCATTGTGTGGGCGTGGCTTGCCGGCAAGAGCGGTAGCAGCAACAACAATGACCACGGCTGCAACACAGCAGATGCTGCCAGCAACTGCGGCTTTTGTGTGTGAAGGAAGTAGGTTAGTGGCTCACTCGTCAGCCAAATGAATGATGGAGTAACTGCGGCAAACTGTGCCTGAAAAGTTCCCATTCTCCTTTGTTTCTCCTCCGTTTTTTTCCGTTTTATCCCGGGCAATTGTATGGTTAATTGAAATAAGAGATACAAAAAAAGAAAAAAAAACAAGAACGCATAAAAAAGTGAAAGCCACCCCTTTGGCTCAGGTGTGGTCATTAAATGGGGCATGTGTGCGCACTATTTATAAGCACTAACCTGGTTTTGGTCGGCTGCTCTGGCTCCGGATTCTGCGGCTCCTCGGCGATGATGTGATTCAAACCCGTGGTGTTTGAATACTCCATGGATTGCCGGCCCTCCAAGGGGCTGGCTGTTTTTCCGAGCTGTCACTAAAATACATTTAAGCAGCTGCACCACCAATTCCAGGCCGAACTAAAAATTATCGCGAGCCTTCGAAGTGAAAGTATCTGGATCGGCTTTATGCGTTGCGCCTAAAAGATGCCACTGAATTTTTTCACTTTCACTGCATCACGTTGAGTTGTTGGTGTGTGGGTGAGTTTTTTATTCGAAGCTCTGAGTTTTCTTTAAATTTTTTATTATTTCACGTGAGCACTTCACTGTTCCGAATTTATTGGATGTTTCCTCGTTTAGGGGGACTCCGTTGCGGAAATGCTCCTGCCGTTTGGCTGGCTGCCGTCATAACTGGCGTGGAATACTGTAAATCGGCTTTTGGCCACTGCAGTTTTGCCGTTTTTCCGTTTTAGCCCGTGCGGAGACCGAGCGACCAGCCTCTGGGCCCGAAAAGCGCCGACGACTACGACAGCGACAGGACGACGGCGACAACAAAATGCAGCAAAAAACTTTTTAAAGCTGCAGCAGCAACAGCAACAGCAACGGCGAAGGCAAAGGCAACAAAAAAGGACCTGCCACAGGATGTGAGGCAAGAGCGAGCCAGCAAAACAATCACATGGCTCGGTGCAAGCTTGCCGCAGCAACAACATTCTGGCCCGAATAAAGCGTTGCCGCAAAAACATAAACAGAGAGCCACCAGCCGGTGAGAGCCGGGCCAAAAGAGAGTGCGGAGAAAGGCTGAGAAGTGTGATTTCAACATAGAAAAAATTCTAATGCTTAATAAAAATATTGCACATTTTTATATTTTCAATCTCTCATATAAAATATTTTTACCTTTCTCTCAATGAAATGAAAATAATGTGGAAGAAAAGAGGGTACAAAATATAAGAAAAAAAGAACAAATTCAAATACATAAATTTCTTTTTTGTCTAACCGGAAAAGAAAATGCTAGTGCCATTAAACGATTTCAAGCAGAACATAGAAAAGTAAATCTTTCGCATGGTAAATAATATTTTTAAGCAATTGCAATAACTTTTCCTAAGCTCTCGCAGCGATTTTCTCACGCCGGCGCTCTCTGGTTAAAGTGGCGAGTTCGCTCTGCCCACGCGAGCTGCACAAAATCGCGTGCATGAAATGGAAACCAGGTCAGGGCCGCCTTGCTCACGTTACCCGACCCGCTGCGCTCCTGCATTGCCACCCACTCCGGCGAAAAGCTCTCGTGTTGTTCTGCTTCTCAGCGAACAAGCTCTTTGGATCAAAGCTCGCACTCGTGCCGCCTCTTCAAAGGTACACAATCCGTTTAATTAATTAGTAACAAATATATTTCTGTATAAATACGTTCCTAAAGGTTATCGAACTTAAATTGTACGACAAAATCGAGCACCCGCACTAAACATCGAGGGAAAATCAGAAGTAGAAAACAGTGAGACACAGAAACATAAATTCAAGGCATTGCAGTCGCCCCTGCTTGCCATTTCGGTACGGTTTTCGGTTAGGCTCAGTTAGACAAAGATAACACAAAGTAGTAATTACAATTAGTTGGCAAAACGAAGGTTTCTCAAGGCACATTTTGGCTTGGCATCTATTGATTTTGCTCCTTCCTTTCAGCGCCTCATCTTCTCCAGAATGGGCACTACCATGTCGAATTTGGGCCGCTTGCCGGGATCCTCGTTCATGCAGATTGCGATCAGCTTGGACATGTGCGACGAAGTGCCTGGCGGGATTTTGACCCGCAGTCCCTCCAACGCGATCTTCATGCCGCACTCCATGGGCGACCACTCGGCGAAGGGCACTTCGCGCGTGGTCAGCTCCCAAATGAGTATGGCAAAGCTCCACATGTCGCAGGCCTCCCAGTTTCGATCCGCCTGCTTGCGCTGCAGTGCCTCCGGCGACATCCAAGCCGGCTGGTAGATGCGTCCCTTCTCCTGGAACGAGAACTTGGCGTCGCCCATGTTGATTCTCGCCGTCAGATCCTCGTCGATCATCACGTGATGACTGTTCAAGTGATAAGTGGGTATGATGCGCTCCAGCGAGTGCAGGAACGCCATTCCCCTGGCAACGTCTAAGGCGAAGCTAACCGCCTGGCTTGTGTCCACCACCACACCAGTGCCTCCATGGAGCAAATTAAACAGCGAAGAACGTGGCATAAACTGTAAGAAAAATATATTTAACGTTTTACATTATTATAGAAAAATCTTTTGTTGAAACTCACCTGACTTATGGTCACTAGATTAGGTGGCGAATTGCAAGCTCCAATGATTGGCAAAATGTTGGGATGCGAGAATATACGCAGCTTGGGGAACTCCTCGTTAAAGTCTCGAGATATGCGAGAGGTGCATTGGCGCACAGAAAGGATCTTGGCCACCACATCGTTCTTTTGCCAGCGACCTCGCCAGGTTTCCCCCGATGGCGTAACCGAGAGCTTGGTGTGCAGATCCAAATCTCCCATGCTGATGCCCTTGAAGCGGGAAAGGGTGGCATCCCGCGATCTCGTCTTCAAGCCCTGCCAGCTCTGCTCCTTGAAGCTGATCACCTTCACCTCCCGGCCGCTCTTCTCCACAATATCCTGCAGCCTCTTGGCCAGACTAGGCTTGGCCTTGTCGATGGGCGTGTGCCCGTCCTTGTTGGCGATTCCCACTTGGGCTCCCGCATTAAGCAGATCTTCGCAGATCATGTCATAACCCCAGAAGCAGGCATAATGCAGGGGCGTGTTTCCGTGCTCGTTCACCGCATTCACATCAGATCGTTCTTTAATCAGCTGAAGTGGTAAGTATGTTTATCGTAAGAAATTACTGATTGGATTATGCGTTATCTCACCATCTGGACCACTTCGCGATGGCCATGGGCTGCCGCCAAATGGAGTGGGATGTCGTCTCCGAGATTGGTGGCGTTCACACGAGCTCCGCGCTGCAGCAAAGTCTCCACCAGCTTGGCATGTCCTTCCTTGGCCACCCAATGCAACGGACTGAAACCATGGTCGTCTCTAAAAAAGGAAAATATTAATAAGTTAGTCAACAGAATTCTAGTTTAATTTAGTAGTTGAAAATTAAATAAATTTTTTCAGTCTTTATTTAAAGGATCAGATTGGATTCATTTTTGCCGGAATATCCCCGTTCTAAGAAAAATATAGGAGGTATGGAAATATTTAGAAATCAATGTGTGGGAAGCAGGTTTTATGCTCGCAATATGCACACATGCAAATACAAACATACATCAATATATTTTTGATTCGTCTGTTTACACAACACAAGAATAAATCATGACGTCACTGAGACTTGAAAGACCCTCAAAATCTTGGGCGTACAAAAATTCGATGACTAAATGGTGATTCCTTGGAAGGGAAGTTTGCAACTCTACATGTAAACTTTCTTAGTAACACTCCCTTGAGCAGCTCGGAAGTACTCGTTTTGTTAGTTAGTCACTTGTTTTAGTTTTACCCCAAATTGTTGTCGTTCTCCGTTTCATCCAACCATAGGCGCACTTGAATCGAGTTGCCCTCGCGGCACCAGTGGAATATGTCCTCCATTTTTATGCCTTACGCCTTTATTCCGCTCTCAGTCACTGATTTTAAAGGTTTGCCAACCTAAATTACATCTAGAAACGGCTAAAAACTGTTAAAATGCGACAGTTGTGAGAATTTCTAATTGAAAAATTTCAGCGGTGTGACCGTTCGGAATAATAACCAATCGGCTCGCGTTGCCAACTTCTTGGAAACATCGATATATGATAGTAAACATATCGATATTGGTTCTTAACGTGAATGGCAACTTTTCAAAGAAGAAGAAGGAACACAACGTGCACCGCAAAGATTTTATTCAAAAACATTTTATTGTTATTGAAGAACTTGCCTAAATCAGAAAAGCTAAAGCAACAAAATGAAACTGAGCACTTACAACTTTCTTACCTCGATGGCCATCAAAGGAGTGAAAGTAGGTTTCCCCCTAAAACTGACGGTGAGTTCTGGAATCTTTTTGGGATGTATTGATTGTTTCATGGATTAACATATGTTTATTTCCCCAGATAAACAAAAAGGAAGTGGTGGAGAGCGAGTTTAATCCAACGTTTGTGGAGCGAATTTTGCCAAAACTGGACTGGTCGGCGGTTTATGGAGCTGCGCAAGTGGTAAGTGTTATTTGTTATATTCAAGGGTCTCTATAGCCAGTGACTACTGTGAATTTTTCAAGTAGCTTTCATTTAACATTTTAAAATAACACCCTTAAATTTTGTTCTTAAATAGGCGGAACTCACAGACGACATACCCCCCACACAGCCAGAAAACATTGGCGATAATGAGCTGCTCCTACAGAAACTCCACCATCTGCTATTCGAGATTGACGTACTCGAGGGTCAACTGGAGTGCCCGGAAACAGGACGTGTTTTCCCCATCACCGATGGCATACCCAACATGCTCCTCAACGAGGACGAGGTCTAGGTCCGCCCATTCATGCTTTTCTGTACCATAATCCCTCTCCAGACGCGCATTATTATTAAGTTAGCTTGTTAGTTTTAATGTCTGTTTATTTACCAGTTACTAAAAAATAATTGGAGCTTGGATGGAATGTGAATTTTTTCGGGGTGTTGAGATCTACGAGGTTTTTGGGGAAGAGCAAAAAACACTTTACGACACATATAAATGGCAAGTCTAAACTTCTGGAGGGGTGTGCTCGGCTAGTTACAAGTTTCATCTCGTTTTCTTTGGCACTCAGGGGGAGATTCGAGATCGGGTGCTCCCTCCTAGTTGCATTTAATGTTGGGACTTTTGTTGCTGCCTTGGGCGTAAATGCTGCCCTTGGCCAATCCAGACTGGGCGCCCTTGCAGAGTTCCGAGTTCCTGCCCGTGGCTTTGTAGCTTCGATCTGCCAAGAGACTGGCATCCGGGCCTTGGGTGGCCTGCTTCTGGAGCAGTTTCGTATTGGGTCCATTCCAGGTGACATAGTCGGCTCTGCGGAGAAAGAAGTTCGGTTTCTGGATTTTTGTTATTTAATATTAAAAGTTTATTACTCACAGTAGAAGATTTTCATCTGCGCCTTTGCTGAGCTGCGAATTGGGTCCCATACTGGCCATACGTTCGATGATGGATTGAAATTCCGTTGACTCCGAGTTTTGGGAGTTGCCAAAGCCAGAGTGCTGGCGATGCCTAGTGGAAAAAGTAAGGATATCTTTACTAAAAGATGAAATTTAATAAATCGTAAAGAAATGAGCTTTAGGCATGCCAAAAAAAATAAAATCGGTTCAAAGGAGTAATTCAAACTGGTCTCCTTCCTACGATCCATGCAAAATCCTTGTCAAACGCATGCGCAAACGACTGACTCGAAAACTACTTAGCGAAACGGTAACGGAAACGGTATCGGTATCGGGTCAAAGCGGGCATACTTCAGTGAATCGGTTTTGGTGCGAGCGCGACTTTCGAATGCGGCTGGCCCCCTCGCGATGGATGAGGAGTTGGACTGGGCCGACGAGGCCAGCGATGAGGACGTCATTGATGCGGAGTAGGAGGAGTAGGAGCTAGCATTCGAGGAGCCATGCAGGTAGCTGCCGATGCTGTAGTTGTTCGTGTCGCTGTTGCCATAATGGTTATAGCCATGGCCGCTCTTGGCCAGGATGCTCTTGGTGGTGAGGCGTTCGTAGCTCTTCTGCCGGATGTCGGGTGAGTGTGCGGGTGAGGCGTATGAATGCGATGAGGATGCACTCGATATGGATGACAGATGCGTGGGCAGTTTCTCCTCCGCGGTGGGCGTTGGCGTGGGTGTGGGCGTGGCCTGGGCCAAAATGATCTGGGTGGTGAACGTCGATGGTGTGGTGACATTGATCGATGGCATTATGTGGCGCTTGTGCGGTGGCTTCGACTTGGATGCGGATGCAGATGCGGATGAGGAGGTGGCCTCCACATTGAGCAGGCTGCATGATCGAGTGGCGCAAAGCAAGCGGACAGTGTGGTTTTTGATTTATATTCGGGGGTTTAGTCAGAGGCGGAGGCAGCAACAAAAGTTCACAGAGAAAATAGGCAGTCGATTAACAAACGGATAAAGCGGCGGGCCAAAAAGAGAGAAAAGTGGTTCAGTGGTTGTTGGGTGGGAAAGCAGGTTGCAACGACCTTCAAAGGTTTGGGCTTTGAGGTGGGAAAGGGTTAAAGGCAAAAGCTACCTCTCTTTAGTGGAACCATCCACTTGCTCGACTCCTGTGGTTTTAGCCAGCTCAAGATGTTTCGGATTCGAAGGAGCCTGCTTCTGGGCCCTCTGCTCATCCTCGTCCTGGACAATCTGCAGGATCTGGGTGGCACGATCCTCAGCATAGTTAACCGACTCCAAAGCCATCAGTATTATGCGCTCCGCAATTTGCGGGTACTTCTCCTTGAGCAAAGTTTGCACTGAAAGTGATAGGGAATTGCAATAAAGGATCAACATATACTTCTTATACCCACTTTTGGTTTTCTCCTCCTCTGTATATTCCTTGGGTCTCAGAGGTATATGTACTGTACCCTGATCCCCGGCAGCCTGCTGATCTTGATTCAACTCCGGTGGGCGATTGTTGGGTCTGTGTGGCTGTTGCATTTCGCGTTTCGTATATCCCAGGGAAATCAACTTTTCCGAGGCAAACTGCACATTGTTATCCGCATTGGCCAGGATATCCAGGAGCAACTCTTCGTCCGCCTTGGGAAATATGTTTTTCATATATCTGAGGGCGGAGTAAAGTTTGTGTTAGCCAAACTATATAATTATTTGGGTACACAGCATACAACAAATAGATTCTGAATAAATGTGAATTTAAAGGTTAAAAATGGAAGCGATCCAGTTCAATAGGTGTTTTTAAATGCTCACATAAATATGACTGTAAAAAGCTATCTTTCTTAGAAAAAGTATGGAGTTATAAAGTCAGAAATAAATAAGAAAATGTAAATAATAAATTAAGTAAAAAGCGGACACTGAGACCCGAGAAAACGTATATTATCCGCAAATGTAGTGTTTGTTTTTGATCTTCGTCTTCCACGAAACTAAGTGGACATAACTTTCAAATTGTTTCTACTGATTCTCTTCCTAATGAAAACAATCATCGAACCTCAGTTTCATCTTGGGCGAGGAGTGCGGTTTGGGCGAGCTGCGCCACTGGGGCGATCCGTGCAGAGCCGGCGGAATAGCGGAGCCCGGCGGCAGGACCATCTGATGGCCATGACCTAGTGGACCGGCTGGACCGCCTGGACCGCTCTGCACACTCACGAGACTACCGAAGCGTCCGCCGGGCAGAGGACTGGCCGTGCGCGAGGTGCGACGACTAGCCACCGTGTCCGGACGACGCGCCGGTGGCGTCATGTAGAAGGCGGAGCCGCTGTGGAAGAGGTGCCTCTGCGAGGGCGGCGTCACGAAGGGACCGGGCATGGTCACCGGGTGCTTCTCCACCTGCAGCGCACTGATGACGACGGCCTCGCTGTTATAGTAGCTGTTAGCGGGTTAGTAAGCGTGGGATTAGTGGTGGTAGCGGTGGCAGTCGTGGGGTTAGACAGGTGCAATAAGCAGCGATAGGCGGCATGTGAGGAGACAGAGATGTAGTACGCGGATTAGTGGGTATTAGCACACTTGGCACACAAGCTGGGGATCAGTCAGCCGCCATCTCTTTACCGCTTGAGCAGCAGGCGAATGTGGTTCTCGCCGGCGGTGGGGAACATGTTCTGGATTTTGGTCACCACGGCATCTGTTTCCGCCTGGGTGGTGAACGAGGTCTCCTGGATGGTGGAACGCCGCGACATATTGGCTCCCAAACGAGCCCGTTGAAAGGGTAAAGGTGATGACATTTCCTGTGGGCATACAAAAAGTAGAGTAATAAAGTTCATATTTTATTTATAGTAGGTATATTATATCCCTTTGAAGTGGTCTTGAGAGGTCAAAGGTTAATTTGTTTAGTTCTGTATTACATTTCCACTTTTGTTATTAATTGGAATCATTTGTAATTTACTTCGATTACAAAACATACTGTTAACACATATTTAATAATTTGTTTTGCATTTATTTGTTCATTTAATTTAAAATCAAATAGCATGGTTAGCGAAACACATTTTTAAACGTGTTGAATTATGTTTAAATCATGTGGTAATTTTTAATTATGTCGTTCTAAATGAGCCACAAACTTTTATAGCTTTTCTGGCACACTCCCACACACAGTTTCAAGCTCTTAACCACAAAGCACGTACAGTTGATTGACAATTTTGTCTGCCTAGCCACTTTAAACGCTTTTATGTTATTGATTACAATCTATGGGCAACTCACCAAGTGTCCCCTCGAGGAGGCGGATAGCAGCGGACTGGTCGAGACGTTGTGCAGCGTGGGTTGCTGGCGCTCTTGGAAGGCCCGGATGGCGGTCAAGTTGTTGCTGGGATGGACGTGGTACGGCGAGCTGTTGTGCGACGTCTGCGGCTGGCTGACCAACTGCTGCAAGAACGAAAAGAGCAATGGTGCCACAGTGCCAGGTGGCAGGTGGCAAAATCAATAAAACGCAAAGGACAGTGGGGAACAGTGGAGGAGGCTACCTGCAAGGCTATCGACTCCGTGGAGCAGCGCTCGTTCTGCAACTGCCTGTAACTGCGACCGCGCGGATCCTCCAGCTGCATGGCCTTGGTCAAGTAGTTTATGTAATAGCTGGAACGGGAAGAGCGGAATCGAGTGGAAGATGAGCTTGCCGCAAATCAAAGGCCATCAAACGACCTCCCAGCCAGGGCCAATTGAAAGCTCTGGGATTCAGGCCAAGGGTGCATTTTTAAAGCCGGCCGGTTGGTGGTGGTGGTTTGGATTTGTTTTGGATTTGGGTTCGGAATCGTATTCGGATTCGGATTCTGGCCACATGTTGATGGTCCTTGGGGGAAGGCGAAGGCCTTAAAGGTAAAGGGTGAGCGGGTGAGCGGGCAAAAGGGTCTAAACCGAGGCACGTGCCAAGTAGCTGCCAAAAGGCGGAGGCTCAGTCGTCATTTTCATCTCCGTTTGGCAGGCCATCGTGGCTCTGATTTTTGCTGGGATGGCTGGGATGGGGGTGCATGTAGATGGAAAACTCGTCTCCGACTGAGTGGCCTCTTGAATTAACGTATGACAGTCGTTGGGCTCGTTGCTTAATTGCACAAGCCTTTTTATACAAGCGGAGTGGGTATTTATATGAGGCTAAGGAGAAGTTAAAGACCCCGCTGGCATCCAACGACGCGGAAGTGACACAATTTATTCCGCTGAAATGAGGCCAGGTGGAGTGGCTAAGTACTCCTTAGTAGTCCATGGAGAAATGGGTTTATTCCATGAAAAATTATAATTTAATAAAAATAAAAGCTTCAATGTGTTTAAACTGAGTAACAACGAGGAAGAACTCATTTGATAAATTCAGAGGAAACAAATTTATGATAAGAAACGGGAACCCAACAAAATTTGGGTGTCAAAATTGTTTATCTAAAAACTGGAATTTTAAATACATATATTTAAAAGCACTTGCATAAAATGTTTGTAAAATGAGTTCTGAATAAGCTTATCAAACTTAAAAAGCGTGTTATTATAAATAAGTATAAAGATGTTTAACATATAAATGCTTTAAGCTTTTATAACTTTTAGAATTTGTTTACATCAAAGTAAGGTACAACAAAGGACCACATAATAGACCCCACTCCTTTAATGGGTTGGTGAATAAGTAGAGGAAAGGTGTTTAAAAATTAACATTAACTGGCATCGTAAACCGTCGGCTTACTGGGCGCCCACCACCCACTTGGCATTTTAAAATCGCCGTAGTAATCAGTAACGGGCTAAGGCGAACCAAGGCCTCCGCCACCCACTATCCTTCAGGCACCGCCCACCGCCCACTGCCCACCACCCACAATAAGCCAGCCAAGGCAACGGTGGCACGCAAATTTAGCAGCTGCCTCCCGGGGCAACCTATCAAACTTCCCCTGCCTCTCCCCCCTGACTTTCTGGCCTCTAAATCTTCCAGTACAGTCGCATTTCACGACATTGTGGTTAATGCATGCATAAATATTTATGACATCGGGTTTATGTGCACACGCTGCTCACCAATTTCCAGTTGTCTGATCGTATTTGCAGTCCCAACCGGGCGGCATTTTCTGATAGCCACCGGACTCGCTCATTTTCACCGCTTTTCAGATACAGATACGAATACAGATACACAAACACTTGCAGTCGCAGACACGAGATACACGGCACAACGTTTGTTGTTTTATTATTTTTTGCTGAATGTTTATGGACGTTTAAAGTCGCATTCGCAGCTTGTTTGCCGACTGTCTGCAACCCCGAAAAAGTTGGCAGCCAGGAGTGCCCTTGCCACTTATCCTGCGGAGCTTTGTAGTTGCCTTTGCCTTTTGTTGGATGGCTCGGACGAAGGACTCGCAGATTCGGGGGTTGTAACCACCCTCGCCAGCCAGCAGAGTTATTTTTGTTTACAAGGCACTGCCAGCCGGGAAAAAGGACCACAACACACAGCACACAACACACGATGTGGCGTGCCTTTAGTTGGGCGAGTGGGTGGAATTAACTACCCGGAAAGGACTCGCCGTCGAAGGAGTCCTGCCGTTTGGAGCTATAAACAACCGCGCGAGCCAAGCTTTGAGCGTCAACTGAGAAAATCACAGTTAGTTAAAGCTTCAGATGCTGCGCCAAAACCGAAAGAGAGTCTCAGAGAAAGCTCAAATCCAGTGTTGGAACTTACCCGTTGGAAAGCTATTCGGACACTTTGACTTAGCTTTCAAGCAGCACACACTATTCAAATTTTACCTAGCCCACCGAAACCAATAAATTATTTATTATATTTCTTCATTTAATTGAACTGTTGGATATTAAACATCAATATGGATGTTTTGGCTCGCGTAACGCGCATTTCGGCAAACTATCTCGAAGAATTGGAGGAGCAGCCAGAGGATACGGGGCCACCCAAGCTTACGAGGGCCCAAAAGAAGGCAATGAAAAAGGAGGCAAAACGACAGGCAGTGATGGAGGAAAAGCGATTGATTATGCGGGTAATTAAAAGAACATATTAAAAATGCAATAATAATAGATTAATAATAAACAGAAGAATTATACATTACATAGTTTACATAACTCTCTCTCTAATTAGAGACCATCTTTAATTGGTTAGTTAGATGTAAATGTTTATTTAAGATGTATTTTTCTCAATCCAATGAATATTATTATCCGGTTTCATTAATTCCAGGATGCCCTTATGCGTGAATTGGAAATGGGCAAGCGCATGGAGCAGAAGGGCAACGAGGAGTGGCACGAGCTGTGCCGCGAGATCAAGATCAAGGAGCTGAACGAGGAGATGGTGGTGTGGGGCGAGCGGGCGGAGCGGAACATCCAGGCGAAGAGCGACCACATCAAGATGCTCCTGGACGACATGCAGCAGACGCAGGACCAGCACGTGCGCTGCTACAGCAAGACGGTGGAGCTGATCGACCACATCCGCGACTGCTTCCACGTGATGCTGGGCGGGGTGAGGAGCATGTACGACCAGCAGGCGGACGAGATGCTCCGCGACTACTACGAGGAGGTGCGCCGCCGCACCGACGAACTGGATGCCATGCACATGAACTCCGAGAACATCATCCATGCCACGAACATCACCACGCGGGACCAACTCAAGGAGGACTACACCATCTACCTGGAGCAGCGAGACGATCGCGTGAACACGGAAATAGAGAACCGGTTCAAGATTCGGGATCAGATCGTCCGCCGGATGACGCACATGCAGCAGCAACTGAACGAGTTTGTGGAGTCCCTGAGGAGCACCGAACTGGATGCCCACAAGTACGAGAAGATCCACTGGCTGACCGAGCGACAGGAGGCCTTCATGGAGGAGTCGCGCAAGCTGAATGCCGAGGAGTCCAAGTACCTCAATATGCAGGCTGAGCTGCAGCGCGAAATGGTTCGCATGGAGCTGGAGAACAACTCCACCCTGAACGACCTCCGCCTGGAGTTCCAGTACTTCACCAATGTGCGCAAGAAGATCGAGGTGAATCAGGAGATGGACCGGAAAATCACCCACGAGAAGCTGCGTATTCTCACTGGCGAGTGCTACGAGGTGACCAAGGTGAGGTACAAAATCTAATGCAATTCCTATTTTGATTTCTAATGCATCAGGAATACATATCGTAGTAGTTATTTTTATATCTCATTTGAATTCTTTTCAATTCCAGCAAATGGAGAAGCACGTTAAGAGTGGGGAACTGCTTTTGGCCCTTTCAATCACCTGCAGGAAACTGCAGACCGAGGCCGAAAAAGTAATCCTGGGCGGCGAGGTTTTCGACGACACCGAGGTGCAGGTGAATGAGAACTTCAAGTTGCAGACCCTCAACCTGCAGGACCACGTGGACATGACCGAGGACGAGCTCGTGGAGCTGAACAGGAACCTAAGGAACTTCTGGCGTCGTCAGGCGATGGCCGAGGCCCAGAATCTTCTGATGCTCGAGGAGAAGCGCCGCCTGACGGAGGACAACCAGCGCCTGATCGACTTCATCAAGTCCATGAGCGTCACCGAGGATCCCGAGGAGCTGAGAACTGCCATGCACGTGTCCTCCCCAAGCCAGCCAATGCCACCCAAATTGTTCGATACCGCATGCCAGAATTATAAGTCCAAGAAAGTTCTGAGGTCGCCAGTGGCTCACAAGGAGGCCAAGATTGAAGCCCAGGCAACTTTGGCGAATGTCTTGTTAGACTATACGTAGTCCATTGGTCCACAAAATTTGTGAAATGTTTAAATATTAAAATGTTGTGTGTTTGGGTGATGATCAAATCAAAAATTAATTTTAGGTTTCAAATTTAAATGCCAAGTTTGACTAAAATCAAATGAAACAGGTACAAATGCTTGGAATATTTCCAAATATTTCAAAAAGTTTGCGTATACGAGGCTGATCAATATACTATAATTTTCAATACATCCTACACAATAAACTCACACCGTTTGTCAAAGAATATATTTTTTATTTTAACAATTACGTATTTTCTGAACACATAACATGGATATTTTCGAGTGTCAAAATCAATGAATAGATTGTATAGCGCATAGTTACTTTTCTAAAAAGAAATTTAGGCTTCCTTTATACTTAATATAAATGTGCAAACTGCAAGTCTTTACTCTACTATATATGGTTCGTTCGCTAAAAGTCTGCCATAACTCTAAAATGTTAAACACATATAATTAAGATTTTTTAATGAGTAAACTGTTAACTGCCAAATGTGTTTGAGTTATGGCAGACCTCTTCGAAAATAGAAATAGGTTTTAAGGGCAACGCGATGATATGTAACAAACTATAAATCAACAGCAGCGCAAATCAAACTGTTGCGAATATCAATATTTCTTGCAGTGTAAAGTAACATAGTGCTTTGGTCCGTCGAAATGCAGAAGCTTCTCCAGCATATGGCAATGAGTGAGCTTGGCTCCCTAGTTTATATCATATTATTGCACTCTAGTTTAGATAAAGGTCAAAGGCTTGATCTTCAGTTTCTCGGCCAGGTTGGCGCAGGTCTTCAGCTGGTTCTCCAGGTACTGGATACCGCCAGCAGCATCGACCTCGGCCATTCCGTTCTTCTCCTTGTCTCCAGCCAACAGAACAGGCTTGCTGGGATCGGTCTGTGGAAGAAATAATAATAAATATTTGTATAAACATTTAAAACAACAGTAAAGGACGACTGTCCGTCTGTCTGTTTCTATAAAAACTTATAGCCCGAAACCAGAACTTAACAGCCCATAACTTTTTTAAATGATGCCCTATTTTGGATTGTTAAGAAGGATTAATAATTACTCTTGAATCACGAAAACATTTCAAAAAAATCGGACAACTGTATCAAATACCTGCGATAGGTAAGACAGTAAAATTTATATAATTTTTGAAACTCGCCGAAGCTAATTTCCTTTCTTGTTTTTCCAATAAAGTTAATATAGTTAAGATAGAAAGCATAGTACTCTTATGTAATATCGTTATCAACCATGGATCAAATTTAATATGATATTTTAAAATCAGATAAAGAGATTTCTGATAAGATACCGAATGGCATTACATATTTTAATTAAACTGTATCTTCTTACCGGAGTAGCGCCCCTCAGGCGGGAGTTGAAGTCCGTCATGCGCTCCTCGAAGTTGGGGGCGAAGCAGTTGGGATCCACGGCGATGAAAACCTGGCCGAGATCGGCGGCAGAGTCGGCGCCGGCGTGGGTCCACTTCCTGACCTGTGTGGAGTAGTTGGCGCCGGACATCACGCCCGACAGGATGTCCACCATGGCGCCCAGGCCGTATCCCTTGTAGCCGGAGGTCAGCTCGGATCCGCCCAGAGGCATCAGGCACCCGGTGCTGAATCCCAGCTCCGCATCGTTGGTCACAGCGCCACTGGGGTCCTGGGCCCAGCCATCGGGCAGAGGAGCTCCCTTCCTCCGCTGGATCTCGATCTTTCCCACAGCCACGGCGGTGGTAGCCATGTCCAGGAGGAACTTGTCGCCATTGGTGGCGTTGGCGCCCAGGGACAGGGGATTGGTGCCCAGGGCAGCCTCCTTGGCGCGAGTGGGCGCCATCAGGGGAGAGGTGTTGGTCATGGACATGCCCACCAGACCCTGCTCCATGGCCCTGATGGCATACCAGCCGGCCATGCCGTAGTGGTTCGATCCCTTGGCACAGACCCAACCGACACCCACAGTCTTGGCCTTCTTGATGGCCAGGTCCATGCAGTAGTTGCCCACCACGGCGCCCAATCCGTTCAGACCATCCACCCAGGCGGTGGCGGGGGTTTCCTTGAGGATCTGGGGAACGGCTCCGCCATCCGTGGAGTTGATGGCCAGATCGTTGATGTACATCTCCAGGCGGTTCATGCCGTGGCTGAAGTGTCCGCGGTGATCGGCGGCCACCAGGAGATCCGCCTGGGCTTCGGCATGAGCCTGGGGAACCTTCACCGCCTTGAAGCAGTCGATCATGAAGCGACGCGACTCGGCGACGGCCACAAGTTTCGGGGCAGCAGAGCTCATGGTGCGGCTATCTAAAAGGTTTTGGTTTTGGGTTTACTTTGGAATTTATATAGTAAGTTGATCCAATTTCAAAGCGAGGAACGTGTGCGTTCGGATTCGCGGCGTTTGAGCGACTGGAGGCGAAACCCATCGAAATGGTGCGAGGCAGCCGAAGCGGACTTCTAATTGTTCTGGCAATCTCTCACTCATACCACAAAAAAAACCCTAGACGGTTGGAAACTACCCAAAGGGGGCTCTATATGCTCTATCTGCCGTTGTTTATTTTTGCTTTTTGGCAAACTCGAATTTCGAGAAGCGAATATGCTTATCGACATTATGTTTGTGGGGTTCCAACTGGGTTCTTGAGGTTCCTGAGGAGTTCTCTACCTGAAAAGTATATAATCGAAACGCAATCTCTCAGAACGTCTAGCGCGTGCTTATAAATTTCATTTCTGTCGCCTCTGCCTCTCTATATGTTTTCTATTATAGGGGGCTCGCGAGTCTATATACACTCATTACTTATTCACTCGCCGCTTATTTATTATTCGTGCGCGAGTATTTCAAGTTATTCGTGATGCTTGTGTGGGTAGAGTATCTGCGTGTGCCTGGTAATGACCTTGAACTTGTGGAAACTATTCCCGTACTTTGAAATTGAGGCGTTGGAATGAATGGCAAGTGATCGAGTTCATAGGAAAGTGACGGTCTAGGGCATTTCAATTTGGGTTCATTTACTCGACGGATTATTAGGGGAAAGTGGGTGGTGGGTGGTGGTTGGGGAAGGGGCGTGGTTCCATCTATAGCGTATAATTTTGTTGACCTTACACAACGAAAGCGAGTGTGACAGATGGGCACATGACACCAACACAGGCAAACAGCTAACACCCAATTAAGTTGATGGGTTTACGAGCATTATCTTATCGGAGCCCAGTCAGCCCACTCCAAAGAGATTGAAATGGGGGAAAAATGCTAAAATAATTAAAGGAACTGTTGTAAGACGGTATTTATTATAGTTAATAAATTGTTGGGTTGTTTAAGTACGGAACAAATAAAAGGTAGTTAAATTTGTGCTTAAGTCTTAAAAGTGAAACAGCTGAAATACTTAAGTTAAGATTGTGCCTATACATTAATAACAGTTATTTCTAGTTAATGTTTACTTTGGCTCTTGGAAATTGGGCAACTTTAAATGGTTGTTTATTTGAATTTAGGTACACAGGTAGATTTCAAGCTCTAAAATATCGTAAAGTTTATTTCACAACCAAACCTAATAGTCTTTCCTAAATAAATTAAACACGACTTGCCTTTTTTTTCTCAGTTATAAAATATAAATAGCCAACGCCCCATCTGCTAATTATTAAATATTTGCCAGCTTCAGAGCATTTCTCCATCGTTCGTCCCCTAATCTTATCACGTTTAGCTTACTATATAGTCCAAAATACATTTGTTGAGCTTCGGGGGTCTGGCCCTAATCAATCTGGAGTAGACGAGTACATTAAATAATAATAAACAACGACGGTTGGGTTTAGGTAAACAAGTTTTATGACCGATTCGCTGCGCTCATTAACACCTTTTTTGATAAATGACAGAAAAATGATCGATCCGTGCGTTTGCAGCGGGTGTTAACATGATAAAAGGCAATTGAAATGAAACCAGTTCCTAAATTGCTCTTTATTTTTGCAACAAAAGGAAGAGTCAGTGCTTAATGAGCTCCCACCGAGGCAATCAAAAAGTGATTAGTAAATAAATGCAAGGCAGACCAACCGACGCCTTCATTCCCAGTTCCACTTCGATTCCTGTTATTGTTTTTATCGTTAATTAAAAAAGCCAGTCCCCTTTTTTTTTTTTATAAAACCGGCACTTGTTTGCCAGTTCGCTTTTTGGGGGCTGTGCTTGGTTGTCAAAAGAGAAACATTTGTTTTAATTATAAACGTCTATAAAATTTAGCAGAGCGTGTGGGTGTCATTATGAGAAAATTTTGCACAAAACCGGCAAAATTATGAGATAAAAAAATTCCGATTGAAGCCAAATTTTTAAGCGACAGTGTTGTCATCCTTTTGGAAGCTTACCAAACAATAAAAAACTTGGGACAATTTTAATGCCGAAACAAATTTTTATAGGTCCCTAAACTAAATCTATTTACAACCTTTTCTTATTAAATGCCGTTAAAAAGGTTGAATCGGTTCCAACCGGTTAACGTTTTTTGTTTCCGTTGCGGCTTGAATGCGTGACTCAAATTCGCAAGCCTGCCGCCGCATAATAAATCACCGACTGCACGCGCAATTTGCATAAATAGAGTTTTGAACTTACCGCTGGCATTTGCAATCGTGTTTGGCGCCTGCGCAGCTGCTGCCGCTGTTGTTTTTATTGTTTTGCTGGCCAAAAGTGCAGAGTGACGCCCACAGGTGTGCAAATGCAATTGGCGCCTTTGAAGCTGCGGCAAAAACCGCCAATTGGAGCCCGAAGTGTGGGCGTAAACATCGCAGCTGACCGCCGCAACTGATCGTCGGAGCAATGTCAACGCAGTCATGACGACAAATAAGGTAACGCACAAAAAAAGGTAACCAAAACAGAGGAGTGAGAGAGGGAAAACACGGAGAACGAGTCTGCTACGTAATTTATCACGTATACGTAAGCGAGAGAGGGGTGAAATCAGAATCCCAATCAGCTGACGTGACGGCTGTGAGCTTTGCTTTTTCGCTTGCACTTTTTAGTTATTCTCTAATTCTCAAGTGACTCACAACGTTTCTCTTATTTTTTTTGGGAGATTTACTCGCGCGCGGATTAATTGCCCAGATACTAGTAAAAATCAAAACACTGGCGGGTCGTCAACTAACCACACAACTACTACGTAATGTATTTAAATTAACTAACAATCAAACACGCAATTTACGTAATTAGCACAACAAACAAAACAACAACAACAACAGCTACAAACAGCGCCAATTGGCACGCCGAATTCCAATCAGAGCTATGCTACAAAGCTACTATATAGCTCTCCGGATCGGTCGTCTTTATCGTTCGGGGCGACAATCTGAACTGCCGTGAACTGGCATCGTTCGCAGCTATCGCTTTTCCACACAAGGTGCCCCATCGGGAGGAAAAGCGAAATCGAAATTTAAATATAACAACTTGATTCAAAGCTGCCGCGTGACATGCGTATTAAAGAAGTCGTTAAAAACTGGATAACTGTATATATTACCTCGTAAAAGAAACAGATTTTATACGAAGAAAGTCTGTGTTTTTTATAACAAATTTGTGAGTTCAAATACATCAACAATTGGATTTGTTTTTGATAGTTTTTCTGTTTTTTTATTTTTTTGCGAAAAGCTGCAAAAAATTTTGGTGAATGTCTTGGCTTACGCCCACTTACACCGTTACGTAGTGGCCCTTAGCCAAGTCACACACCCACGCAATGTGTAGCTCCAATTGGAAGTCAAATTCTACTGCCAAATATTGGAAAATCAGATTTTATTAGTAAACAAATATAAACATTAAGTCATTTTACCAAAATTGTCAATACTGCGCTTGAAGCAAAACAAAACACTTATTGGCGAATGAAACAGCATAAATATCTATTTAAACAAGCATATTTTTTTATATTTAAGTAAGGAGGCTCCTTTCTATGTGGTAGTTGTTAAGGGTTTTTAATAAACTAGAAAAGCAAATATTTACGTTTCAATATGGGTAAACAATCGACCAAAATGTAAAGACGTTATCTCATATTGGAATCGAAGCTGTTGCTGCTTGTTGCCTGTTTTGTTTGTTTTAGAAAACAACTTGTCACTTAATATGGTTATTTGTTCGGTGTTTGTACGTGTGTTTATATATTTCATTTCACCTGCCTTTCAATTATCGAATAATTTAAGTCATATTTATATTTATACATGCATAATACAATCTCGCTAGTCGGTTGACTGCCCCTATTTAGAACATGGGCGCAGATTACCTTTGACAGAGGCCCACGCAGAGGTACAGGTGCTACGATCCGAACCGATCGGTCGTAATTAATCTATAAAGCGCTATCAAAAGCCTGCACAAGTTCTTAATTGGCTGTTACAGCGGCTTTGACGGTTTCGGGCGATGCCAAATCAACTTGTCGCTAAAAACAAACAAACAAACCGATATCAGCTAACACTTACCAGCACATGTATGTCATCATCACCATCATCATTATGACTCAGTGGATCGTCATGCTCGGTGGTGGATTTTACACCCGAAAAAATTTGCAATATCTTTTAAACTAATATCTTCACCAATAACTAAAGTAAAATACCAATAAACATCATATTATTTTAATACTCGGACCAATCTTAAAGTTACTACTTTAAAGATACAGACCTTTTTTTAACATGTAAAATAAAATCTTTTGTGATTAAATATTAAATATATTGTATTTCCAATTCTGCTTTAAACTTTCAAGAAAAAACATAAATTAAAACGTCTTAAGCAGGCCAATTTGGCAATAAAGACCGCCAAACAAGATAAGATAATTTTGTTAATTTCACAATAAAGGCGATTCTTTAATATGCATATCAAAGTAATATATAAATTGCCCACAATTTCACTCTCTTGATATTAAGTGGAAAGTAAAGATTTTTTTCGCTGTACAATCATTAAGTTTTTGGTGCCCCCTGCGGCGGCGCCTCTGGGCGAAATGTTGTCACTGGGGCTCGAAGATTCTCGCTGGGCTTTCGCCCGGCACGTCGCTTCACCCGATCCCAATGCGCATTCCGCTGCAGACCGCCGGCCGAGGCAGTCGGTTCATTAATAATCTCTAACAGAATTGTGGATTGGGAGTGGGAAATCGGCGAATCGCCAAAATAAACAAGCCACCAACCAACTAGCCGCTAACTGTTCAGAATCCGAGTCGCGTTCGCTAATTGCTTTGTTTTCATTCTGGTTTTTCTGTGCAGTCCGTAACCGAAACTGAAACCAAAACCAAAGTCAAAACCATTCCGAAGCCGAAAAAGTTTTTTTTATCGCGAGTTTCGACCTCGACGTGAAAGTTTCCAGCGCTGCGTGCACGTAAGTACGAAAAATCATTTTTGGCATTGAGCGTCTGTCTCGGTTGTTTGGCCAACAGAATAATTTCCGCTTAATTGCAGTTGATTTATACCCAGCAGAGTGCCATGGCGAATGTGAGGATTGTGGAGTCCAAGCTGGACATTTTTCAGGCCCCGCAGACCCATTCCTTGGCCCATGCGGTGGAGTCATCCTTTGTGGCCGAAAGGGGATCTTTGAATTGGCAATTTGGTCTGATCTACGGAGATGTGGATGAGCTTAGGCAGCGGAGGGTTTCCCGGGGAAACTGTGCCGTGTTGGAGCATAATTCCCGATTTATATACTACCTGGTCACCAAATCGAATCTCTACGAAACGAGCACTTATGACGATGTCCAGGCGGCTTTGATCTGTATGCGCGAACATATGGTGAGTTTTTATGGGTACTTAAAGACGGGTGGGGATTTCCCCGAAAACAAAAGACAAGTGACATTTCCCCCAAAGAGCAAGCGCACTTTGGAGCTTGGGAAACTGGTTTCTTAGCCTCTGCCTTCGTCAATTTACAGTTAATTTATTTGTACATTGATATACAGTAAATATCTCAAAACAGTTTCCCCTTTTGTCATCAACTTTTAAGCTTTTTACTTGTTTGAAAATGTTTAGTCATAAAACAATTTAAAGGAATTTGCATACAGTTAATTTATTTGAACTTTGGGGTACAGTAGTTATCGGTTAACTGGTGTTCCCATCTAAATGGCAACTCTCTATTTGATGGTGGGAAAGCTAAGTAAGTTTCTGAAGATTAAAAATAATTAAATTTTAGTCAGATAATGTTTCTGGTTAACTTTGTTTGAGTTAAGTGTTTGCTGATTTCTGTTAACTAATACTTACTGTACTGTCTTCGCAGCGCAACCACGAGATCACTAAAGTGGCCATGCCCCGAATTTGCTGCGGCAGAGACGGCCTCGATTGGCGGCAAGTGAAGCGCTTGGTGCAACAGACTTTTTCCCAGAGCGAGTATCCCATTGAGATTCTCATCTGTGAACACGACGACATGTCCAAGGAGGTGAGCAAACCAAGATCGCTGAAAAGAACAATTCATTTAGCCAGTTAATCCACAGCTGGCTGCTCCCAAGTGTCAGATTACGGAGGCCAGGGGAAATCTATTCAGCGCCCCGGAGAACTATGCATTGGTGCACTCCGTCAGCGCGGATTTCGCCATGTGTGCTGGCATTAACCTTCAGTTCCGCTGCAAGTTTGGCCAAGTGGATGAGCTGAAGCGACAGAACAGACACACCGGAAATGTTGCAGTCTTGGAACAGGATGGCCGGTACATCTACAACCTGGTGACCAAGGAGCGCAGTCACGAAAAGTGTACCTACACTGCTCTCTATTATGCATTGTTGGCCATGCGAGAACATATGGTGAGGAATAGCATCTATAGAAAATATATAATACAGATCGAAGAATATAATTCAATAATTATCATCCCAATAAATCCACTTTCAGAGGGAGCATGGAGTAACAAAGTTGGCCATTCCTCGACTTGGTTGCGGCATCGATCGCTTAGATTGGTTGCGCGTGCGCAGTTTGCTGGATTTGGTGTTCGCCGAGGATAATGTGGATATCATAGCCTTCTTCTACACTCCACCACAAATGGTCAAGGATACAATGAACGTTGTTTGCCCCACCTGTCGACACATGAAGACCATCCAGTTGCCATCGAGATCTGTCAGCGGATCCAGGAATTCTCTGCATCGCGAAAAGACACCTTTCTGAATGCAATGGGAAATCTGTGTATAGACATCTTCAACTCGAAATTGTTTTACTTGGGACTTGTGGCACCGAATGCACCAAATACTTATATAGCTTTTAAGAACTTACACCTAAGAGCTCTTATGGCACGGATATTGTATATTTTTTGGGTATTTATACTGTATGAACACTAATAAACGAAACACGCCCTTGAGAGGGTATTAACTAATGATCGCAGTTTTAAATATAATCATTGATGTGCGAATTTTTGTTATTATAAATCTAGTAGTTGTGTGCTTGCCCTCACTTTCATTATAAAATAACTTGAACTAAAATGTATTCTCCTAAACTTCTAGAACTACGTGGCGCATTTCGACGGGCTTTTGTGGTCGGAATGTCATCCAAACCTCAGTACAGCTTAAGCGAAGTGGACGGGGATCTCTTCTCCGCCCCCAAATCGTATTCCTTGGCCCATTGTGTGGGTGCTGATCTTGCAATGGGTGCTGGCATCGCCGTGCAGTTCAAGAAGGTCTACGGCAAGGTGGACGAGTTGCGGGCTCAAAATGCTAACAGTGGAGAGGTGGCGGTGCTGAAGGATGATCAGCGGTACATTTACTATCTGGTGACAAAGCCACAAAGCTGGGGAAAGCCCACCTACGAATCTCTACAGGCATCTCTAGAGCAAATGCGCGAGCATATGGTAAATATTAACAAAGATTAGTTGACCAACGACATCTTAGCAGTCTCTTATATTCTTTTTAATTTCATATAGAGATAAACAATTCGTTAGATATATTCATTAATCTCATTTCTCTCACAATAAGAGAATACTGAGTCTTATAACAACCCTATCTTAATATACCCTTTATATTACATTTATTTCTTATACTAGCGCAAAAACAACGTGGATAAGCTAGCTATCCCGAAAATTGGTTGCGGCATCGATGGTTTGGAGTGGGACAAGGTCAGTGGAGTCCTCGAGTACGTTTTCGGCCAAGAACCTCTGGAGATTGTGGTCTACAACTTTGTGCCGCCGCAAAGCAAATAATGAAATATTGTTCTAAAATTGTGCCATTTACTTGTGAGCGACATAATTATAAACAACCAGTTCCAAAGCATCCTTACTAAAAACCTCGCATACTATTTCCTTTACTTTGGGCCATTTAAGCCCATCCAAACCGCATCCTATGCGAGGCATGGCTAACTTTTGGACTTGGTGGGAGATCTAGGGATGATTATATGATGTTATAGTTTATATAGAGGGTAAGTTAACCAACTTACCATGTGCTCTCGCATGGCGATCAAAGAACTGTGAAGAAGTTCATAGGTGGGCTTTCCCCAACTGGATTTCTTGGTTACCAAATAGTACACAAAACGCTGCTGATCTTGAAGGATAGCCACGCCCCCGGGCTGAACGTTCTGCTTTTGCAAGTTCAGCAGTTGGCCAAATTTGTTCCTAACAAGTAGGGGGGTATATATTATTAAAAAACTATTTAAATTATGTTGCTCTGTTATTTACCGAAACTTTACCGCTATGCCCTTGCCCATTCGCAAATCTGCTGCCACACAATGGCACATCGAGTAGTTATTCTTGCAACTGAATAAGTCGCCGTTGACTTCTCTGTAAGTAAAGCCTGACATGTTTACTAGTATTTACACTATATAACTTTATCACTTTTTCAAAACTTTTTTAATTGTGCGCATTCCTGTGTCCGCGTTTCCCTGCGAATGGCTGCCAGCTGGTGTTTGGCAACGCGTAAGTAGAGACACTGCCTATTGGCCCTGAATATACGGTCACACCTAAGGAGACCTTCGCTCAGCTGATAACAAATGAGTTTTATTTTTGAATTTATTGCATCTTTTGTACGCAAAATGCTGGAGCTGCTGCAATTTGGGGGCAAGACTCTGAAGCACACATTGAGCATTTATGTAAAAACCAACACGGGCAAGACTCTGACTGTGGACTTGGAGCCCCAGTGGGATATCAAGAACGTAAAGGAACTGGTGGCCCCGCAATTGGGACTTCAGCCGGATGATTTGAAGATTATTTTTGCTGGCAAGGAACTAAGCGATACCATAACTATAGAGGTAAATTTTTTGGTTGTGTTTCCCACAATGTGCTAACTATTCTTATCTTTCAGTAGCAATGTGACTTAGGCCAGCAGAGCATTTTGCACGCCATCCGCTTGCGACCGCCTGTGCAGCGCCAGAAAATTCAGTCGGCTACGTTGGAAGAGGAGGAACCATCGTTGGGTGAAGAACCCTCAAAGCCTCTCAATGAAACCCTTTTAGATTTGCAATTGGAAAGTGAGGAGCGGCTCAATATCACTGACGAGGGTAAGCAACAGGTTGTTTTGTTGTGATATAACCTAATGTAATACTTTATGATCCTCCCTAGAAAGAGTCCGTGCCAAGGCGCACTTCTTCGTACATTGTAGCCAGTGCGATAAGCTATGCAACGGCAAACTTAGGGTGCGCTGCTCCCTCTGCAAAGGTGGTGCTTTTACCGTCCACCGAGATCCTGAGTGCTGGGATGATGTTTTGAAGTCCCGTCGCATTAACGGACACTGTGAAAGTCTGGAGATAGCTTGTGTGGACAACGAGGCTGGCGATCCGCCTTTCGCTGAATTCTTCTTCAAGTGTGCGGAGCATGTTTCTGGCGGGGAGAAGGACTTCGCTGCTCCCTTAAATCTTATCAAAAACAACATCAAAGATGTGCCTTGTCTTGCTTGCACAGATGTGAGGTGATTATGTAAACATAAATATTTTTTCTATATGCGTCGTATTTAACACAGTACAAATCATGTAGTAATCGAATAGGTTAGCTTATAATTAATCTGAGGATTTTAATTTGCTTTCTAAAACAAATTTTAAGAACCTAAAAAGTTTGCGAAAATTTTCCAATTATGTTTCCTAATTGAATCCTTCTTTTTTTTAGCGAAACAGTTTTGGTCTTCCCTTGTGCTTCGCAGCACGTAACATGCATCGAGTGCTTTCGCCACTATTGCCGCTCCCGATTGGGCGAGCGCCAATTCATGCCGCATCCGGACTTTGGCTACACCCTTCCCTGTCCCGCCGGCTGTGAGCATTCATTCATTGAGGAAATCCATCACTTCAAATTGTTAACGCGCGAGGAGTACGATCGCTACCAGAGGTTCGCCACCGAGGAATATGTTCTACAGGCTGGCGGAGTTCTTTGTCCGCAACCCGGTTGTGGCATGGGTCTCTTGGTAGAGCCAGATTGCCGCAAGGTGACCTGTCAGAATGGCTGCGGCTACGTGTTTTGCCGCAACTGCCTGCAGGGCTATCATATCGGGGAGTGTCTGCCCGAGGGGACGGGCCCCAGTGCTCAAAACTCATGCGAATACACCGTGGATCCGAATGTGAGTTGGTTTTTATGTGGCTCAATCGTTCCCGCTTGTATAATCATGTGCCTTTGCTAGCGTGCTGCTGAGGCGCGTTGGGAGGAGGCCAGCAATGTCACCATCAAAGTCAGTACCAAGCCCTGTCCAAAGTGTCGAACGCCCACGGAGAGAGATGGTGAGTTGGAGGGGGGAAACCAAATAACCAGATACCCAAGACGCAGCTCGTAATATATGCTAACCCACTCCTTTTTCTCCTTTAAGGCGGCTGCATGCACATGGTCTGCACACGCGCTGGCTGCGGATTCGAGTGGTGCTGGGTCTGCCAGACAGAGTGGACACGCGACTGCATGGGCGCCCACTGGTTCGGCTAGTCGTTCGTCGGCCCGAAGTGGCCGTTTTGTTTGTTGACTGCTTTTAAATTGTATACTATAGTAAAGACTGCTCGAGCAACACCCTGTTTGCCGTCTACGCAATCAATAGCAGAAACACCCTCGTCGAGGACCGCGAAGCTCATCCTACCCCACTCTATTCCTGCGTTGCGTGCGCACAAAACTTTGTTTACGTTTTTCCATCGCTCGCCCACAAATATTTTGAGGGCTTTCCTCTTTGGGTTGGCATGCGAAAACCGCAACAAACACGTGCACTTGGCCAAAGAGCAAATGAGAGAGAATGCGGCGGATGCGCAGTGGGTGGCCAGCGGTACAGGGCTCATGTAACCCAGGCGCGTAGCCGCAAGGGGACTCCCAATAATTGATTAGGGGACAGCCAAGGCATTTCAAAAATGTTGCTTGAGGGTTTACAAATTCCTTACTTTAGTGCTACATTTTTCTTTGAAGGAGCGAACCCTTTTTTTTTACCTAAAAAGTGGCCTACCTTCTTTTCTCCCTATTTCTTGTAATTTTGTTTTTAAAGAGTACATTGTCAACTACCTTGATGGTTGTGAAATTCTTTTTAATAAGCTCTTATATATTTTTATTACAAGCAAATGTTCTCGCTAAAATTCTTTTTTCAAAATAAAATTGTTCTTAGAAAATCTTTGCATAAAATAGTCCAAAAGATTTCTAGAAAAGCCTGGTCTTTGAGAACTTCGAGGGCTGTAAGTGCGCTTGTGCCTTGGAACGTTCACCTGGCTGGTTATCAGTCTGTTGGCCGCTTATCGGTCATCTCAAGTTGGTCTGGTCAAATGCCACAGGTTCACGGGAAGCTAATAAGGGAAACCCTCCCTTGTCGGAAGGAACTTCGAGTGTGCCAGAAAGCGTGCTATGGTTTTTCGCATATTGGTGGAAATTCGTAGCCCGGACATCGATAAATCGAGCCTATACATACTTCATTCACACACACCGAACGTGGGAAACCCCCAAGCGGGACTTTGCTGAAAATTCGCTGCGCACTCACGGCTTTCTCCCTGCTTTTTCTCTCTTTCTGGGAATCTCCCATCTCTCGGCCTTTTAGAAGTAACGCCACGTTCTAGATTCCTTTCGGCTTGCCGCTCTGTTTTGGTTGGCTTTCTGTTTTGTGCTCTAATTCGTAAGCAAAGCGAATAGTTTCGACAGGCATTTCCCAGAGAGAGAGAGACCGTGCCAAAGGAGAGCGCCAAATGCAGCGCATTTTCCGCCCTCGAGTGGCAAAAAAGGAAAAGCTCGCTCGCGCATGTGGGCAGGTTGCCCATCGAATCGGGTCACAAAGTTCCCAGTGCAGCAGCTTCTGGGTGTTTTTTCTATTTGTTTTTTTTTTTTTTTTTCGTCTGCTCCTTGCTGTTGTGCTTGTCTTTTGCCAGCTTTTCTTCTTCAGTTTTGGGGGCCTTCGGTGTATAAATGGCAGCGCGGTCGCGTATCGCATTTCAGTCTACGTTGGACTTTAGCGCGCGCCGCACACGCTGCGTATACGTAACGCATCGCAAGATACGGCGGATTCCGCACCGAACTGAGGTCTCCGTCCGTGTGACGCCGCCGTGCTCCGATCACTTGGGTGTTTTGGGCCTCCGCTCTTCGATTTTTCCGCGCGAGCCTCGAAGAGAAAGTCGTATAAGTTAGTGGAAAAGTGCCGCCTCTCCACTCGAGAACCATTTTGAACTGTTCTGCGTGGGAAACAGAATTTCAAATTTAACGGCTTTTCGTGGTAGGGAGAGTTTTCGAAAACCAGAGGCGAGGTTTTTAATTGAATCAAATTAGTGGTAATTCAATTTTTGACGGCAGTAAATGAGAGGAAAATAAAACTGAAAACAATTTGGGCTTCTGGTTATACCTAATTGAAAATAATAACTTAAGCAAATGTAATGCAAGAAAACTAAATAAATCCGCTGATCTGGAGTAAGGTAACTAAAAAAATTTATTACGAATACTTTAGAGCTGTTAACATACTTACACAAAAAATGAATTTAAAAAAATTAATATAGTTCGGCATTTCATTAATATGTATGTATTTTGTGGGCTATTTATTTGTATTTTATTTTTTTGTCTAATTTCCTTATCCATTCTGTGTTGAAAAATAAAAATATTTTCTTTAATTTAGGTAGATGTTGAAGTCTCACAGTATTATTTGATTATTGTTTATTTAATTTTTTTGATTTAGTTATTGATTTAAGTGTCAGTATTTGATTTTTTCTTTGCAACCTTTGTTTGAATATGGACATTATTTATTTATGATGAAATAGTTTGTCATGGACCTTTGTGGTTGAAACTTTTGTCACACCTTAGCATTTTTTCCAACACGCCCACGCACTTGAGGTCCTGTCCCATTTATTGGAAACCCTCCTTCGAGCAGAGACTCAATTAAAATCGCAATATTTTGCTGCATACATTCGGGCGCTTCGTTGAGGCCACATTGCACATACGCAGCGTGTGACGCGCGCGGGTCCGTGTAATGATTGTGTACACCAGCAGCTCCTGCTCCTGCTCCTTCTTTGGTTACTGCTGCTGCTGCTGGACGCAGAAGTGGAAAACAAAAATAAAAGTACAGAAACAGTGCAAGAGCTGAGGCGAAAACCCGTCTCGGGCTGCTGTTTTTATTGATTTATATACGAGTATACACGGCGGCGGCGAGTGGGAGGCTGTTCTGTTGCTGCCGCTGTTGTGTCGCACTGTCCCAAAAAGAGGCACCACCAACACGCACACATACACACACGCGGCCAGCATCCATCGTCATTTACACGGCTGCCGTCGTGCCCAACTTCCGTTTCCTGTCGCAGGATCCAAAGAGCGAACGGAAAAGCAAGAGAGAGAGTAAAAATGAGAGAGGGGCCAGACTTGCCTCCTTTTTTCGGGGACCCAACGATTGCAGTTGCTTAACTTAACTTATTTCGAGGCTCATTTCATTTACGGCTGGCAGTTTTTGTTTCACCTAACCCTTTGGGCCATCCTCGAAAGCTCTCTCGCTCTCGCACTCTCTTTCTCTTTTTGGAGCAAGCTCTCCCTCTCTTCACCGGCTAACGGCTCGCTCGCTCTCACTCTCTTGGACAAGTTGTGTTTACATTGATTATGTTATCCACTCCGCCCCCCGTGTTTGACTTTGCTAATAGAGTTGTTCTGTCCTTCCCCCATCTCTCCCCACTTACTTGCTAATTTGCTGCCAGGACATCATCATCATCAACCTCATCTAGAACGTCACTCGCTGGGGCTCTCCAATCAATAAAGGTTGCCTCCTTCCCCCTGCGAACGCCTTCCCCGCTGGCCACCCACTAGTGGTTGCCTTCAATTATTATTTTTCGCCTTTTTTCTGGTGTTTTTGCACAAAAAAAGTTTATTAATCAATAAACGCACACGTCAAGCACAAGCTTACAGACGAGCACAAGTAACTGTGATGCACAGGGAAAAATAATAAATACATTAAAAAGTCATGGGAGATAATCATTATTATTGTAAATGTTAACACACATTTTTTATATTTTATAATTATTTATTTTATTTTTTTTCTTAATTTTTATAAATTGTAAAATATTTTTAAATAGAAATGTAGGTAACGAATATTTTTCTAGACACTTCTTTTGTTAAAGTAGCATTACTACTACACTATTTTTTTTCTTCGTGTATGATATTTGTGTGAGCCGATATATAATGTCCTTTGCGGAATATGGGTGGTTGTGTGGTTAAGCGAAGCTGCTGGAAGACTTTCGGCGTTGCCTGGTGACGACTTTGAAGCACCCACCCACCACTGGTCGACCCACTGGTCCTTATCAATCCCACTCCAGATGTGTGCACTTTTGTGGCTCATTAACGGTTTGCATGCGGCCAAAATGCATGCGGTTATGCATTGAATGCCTCTGTGAGTGTGTGTGCAAGAATGTGAGTGTGTTTATGTGCGGGTGTTAGTGTGAGTGGGAGATGCGCTCGATAAGTCGAGTGGCTGTTTGTTGTCGTTGTTGTGGTGCCTCAGCTGCCTGTGCGTGAGTGCAAAACAAACGGAATTTTGCGCATGGCCCACCAAGAGATGCACCCACCCACTCCTGAGGGTCCTGCCATCTCCCCAATTACCAGAGCCATGGCAGCCCACTCCGCATTTTCCATTTCCCAGCCATCTTCAGTCGGCGAACGTATTTCGTGCATCATAACATGGCTGGGATATTCGGCGAGTGGCTGGCTCTCATTAGCATGTGCGGAATGTCAGGATTGCACTCAGTGAAGCTCAAGGATCCACAATTGAGGCATTTGCGGATATGGCATTTCGCAAACGAGGATTTGGGGAGGAAAAAGTCTGTAAAATGATTGGAGTTTTTGAATGCTACAAAAGGGGAGATCTTTCAAGAGAGCATACATAGTAACTACAGGTTTATGCTTTTATTTAAAAATCAAATTCTTATTCAAAGTTTAAAGTCGAAGTTTTGTTAAGTGTTTAATGTATTTTTTTAAGCTCTAATAATGTAATAATTATAAGAACTTGTTTCACAGAGGCTCTTAAACATTCAATAACATCCCTACTTATCTGTTAGTCGCGGTCATATACACAAGTTGCCTTGAAACCACTTAATACTCAACCAAAAGAAAGCCCCAGACCATGTACATCCTATAAAACGTTATTGGCCCGATGTTAATTGAATTGTCTGCGTTTCTCCGTACGCAATTGTCTCGTTACAAGCAACTACGGGCAACTGTTTAACGATCTCGCCATTGGCATTACCATTTCCGTTGTGCCACCAAATGTCCTGGCATTACACACACCCACACACACACACAGGGCACTATTTTCGTTTGATAATAAAGCCAGCCACTTTGCTCTCTCTTTTTTTGCCTGCGCTCCATTCACAGGAGGACAATAAGAAAACTGCAAGTGTGGCGAAAATTGATTCGAACATAAATAAAGGGCAGCCAAGCGTGGCCAGACAAGGACAACAAAAGCAAGAAGCCGAAGGATTTGCGATTGGCCGAAAGGGGGAAAATCAATAGTGGCCACATGTAAGAGGACACCGGGCACAAGCAATATGGTGGCCATGCGGCAAGGAATGGGTCAGACGACTCCTGGCCTCCAGTTGTTGCGGTGGACTGAGTAAGCGCGAAAGTTCCAGGGGAAATAACATGTCGGACCGATATCCAGCCAGCTTCTACGATCACCAGCATCACCAGCTACCCCCTCATCCCTCCGCGATGTCGCACTATCCGCCGCAGCCCTACAGATCGGGTTACACCGGCTACCATCCGTACGGATATGGCTACGGATCGTCAAGTGCTTCTTACATGCCCAACTACTATCGCTATGCTCCGTATGCCTCGCCGCACTACAGCCAGCACCACCAGGGGATGTTCACGCCGGCTGGCCAGCAGTTGATCCCCTCCAGCGTGCTGCACTATCCGCCCAGATCGCATCCCTACCAGCAGCAGCAGCACCACCACCACCCGTCTCAGCCTGGCTACGAGCCGCCCGCTCCCTTGCCCTACAGTTCTTCCGCCTCCTATCAGTCCCGCGGCTTCGGTGGCTACTCGGGTCCCACGCCCCACTATGCTCCGCCTGGAAGGTCCTCCACACCGGCTCCCAATCGCACTGTGCTGCCGCCGAACTACTTGGAACCACTGCGCAGCTACAGCGCCGAGCAGCAACACCTCGGCCAGCAGCAACACATGAGTCAGCAGCAACTGCAACACCTCCCGCTGGCGGCCACCCCGAAGCTGGAGGACCCGGACATCGAAGTGGAGGCGGTGGCGGAGTCCCCCGCCCAGCGGTTGACCACATCGCCGCCCATGATTAGTGCCACCGGAACGGATAGCGGCATCAGCAACTGCAGCACGCGAGCCCGCAGCGATAGCAGCCAGAGTACGCCCGTTTACAGCGGCGAGTATCCGGTGAACATGTCCGTGGAGTCCGCCTCCTGTGTGCCGTACCACTGCCCGGCAGACGGCAGGGACTTCGAGGAGGAGGAGCTCCAGCCACCGGTAGCAGCGGAGGCCAGAGGGACGGACCCTCCGCTCGATATTCCCGGTAAGTTGTCAGCTTTTTTTAAACGCTTCACATCGCCTGTCGTTCCCTCATTACACTCTATTTAATTTGCAATTATGCACGGCCGCGGGGGAGAATTCGAAAATTTATGCAAACATATGTCGGGAAGATTATGTAACAAGTATCGAAGTCAGCAAGGGGCGACGGCCAACTGGTAGTTACCCACGTACTGTGGGAGGGAATAGAACTGATCGGTAGTTTAAAAAAAGGAAGGAAGCTTAAATAGGAATATATAGAGCTACAGCAATACCAAAAATAAGATTTGTTAAGATGTGATAAATGATGTTCTTATTTAAAATATGATACTCTAAATAAATCAGAGAAATCAAAATTATGTTGTATTAGTCCCACTGTACCTTCATAGACTTATGCTCGATTCCGCATGCAAATTAATGCAAGAACTGTCGGCTCGCGTTGCCGTCATCGTTGTCAGCGTGTCCGGAGTGTCGTCCGCAAAGCTGCTCACCATCAGCGATGTCCGTCAGGTTCCTCCACCTGCTCCTCCGGATTCCGGTTCCAATGGCACCACCCGCCGCCATCCCTCCAATCGCCTAAATATTGCACAAGCCTGACAAGCCGACGTTTTGCAAACACTCAACCAATCAGCGTTGGTTAACTGCTGAAATACTTCCGTTTCCCGGCGGGAGGGGTTGCCTCATGGGGTGGGCGGTTAGGGGAGAGTGGGCGGGCGGCTTTCGGGCGCCTACGTCATGGCGTTTCAGAGGACTTCAAAATTAGCTGTCTATTTAGGCACGCGAATACCCGAGACTCCCCGACTTAGCCCCGTGATGTGTGGCTTTTTAATTTTTTTGTCGTGTGTGCAAATCAATAAGTCAACTGTGTATGTGGATGACCCACCAGGTGCGAAGTGAACCCACAGCTTTTTTTTCTAAATATTTTGCAGTGCAAACGAACTTCGTACACTAGAAAAAATTTTGAGTAAAAAATAATGACAGGAGAATACAGTTTGGGGTGGTACTTTTCAAATAAAATATTCTACGTTTTTAAATAAGTTATAATATTTTTATTAGGGTTTCTAGTTTTGGTTTTTATATCAAATTTGTTTAGATTTTTTCAAGTGCGGTGGAGTGTTTGCCTGTGTTTGTGGGCGGTTTTGTGTAAAGCTACGTCGTTATCAATGGGCGTTTGACTTTCACACACAAGCACACCCACACAACAATATCTAAGGGTGTCTTTCTTGCTATCTGTGTGTGCGTGAAATGTCATCACAGCCAGCATGTAAATGAACTTTTCAGCGTAATGCGGTGGTTGCCGCTGTTTTTGCCGCTTTACTACCGTTAGTCAAACCCACCCACACAGAGAGCAAACACAACCAACCACCCACAAACAGATACACCGAAAAAAACTGAAAGTTGTTTCATCACTTAGAAGGTATAATAATATTATTGTTTTGTATTGTATTTATATTTTTGGCCAACAAATATGGCAACTCATTTTCTACTTAATATATAATATTGTTCACTTGGTTATTATTGTAACCCATCAATATTTTTCTCTGTGCACTAATCAAGGGAGGAACCAACGACACGCTGAAATAAGAAGAGGAACAGGAATAGGAACAGTTCCCTGGTGCAATAGCCAGGGCTCAAATTCAACTTCAACCTCAACCACCGATGGTAGCCACCATATTGAGGCAAAAATCAATGTCCGTTATGTGAAATGAAGTGCAGCTAAAAAAGGAATGCAATTAGGGAACAATCCCATTGAGGATGACTAAATATTTAATAGACTGTTATTCTCCTTACTTTCCTTGCATTTATTATGGAAATAATGAGAAATTCCAGTTTTCCAAAACTAAAAATATCAAAGTCACTAAAGTATCAAAATCAATCAAAAAAAACATTCAATCTTTCAATATAAAATTACTTGCAACTTACTGCTTAAATTGTACTCTAGCTATTTCCGATAATAGATATACTTTATGAAACGATTTTAAAAATACATAGTGAATTTCACAAGACAAATTTTTTGCCGAGCTCCCAATTACCCATATTGAATTATATTTTTCAAAAATAATTGATTTATCGACTCGTTGCTGCCTTAAATACATTGCAGTTACTGCCATAATAACGACAACAAGTCCAAAAAAAAATAGCCAGGCTTGATGGGAAACATGTAAACATTGCAGGCCGAGTCGCATGCGCCGAAAAGTGCGCTACACTTTTTGTTGATTTCCCGCTACTCTCCTCTCTTTTATTTTGTATGGGTGAGAGAGCGAGTGTGTGTGCGTGCGTGTGTGACAGCCACGTTCAACAAGTGCATGACGCTCTCTGAATTTTGCTCTCATTCTCTCGCTCTTTTTTTGTCCTCGGGAAAAATGATTTGATAAGCGCTTGCGAAAAAGCCCTTCGATTCCACACCGAATGGTCAATGTTCTGGGCCTGGTTTTTAACCCTTGATTGCCGCCTGCACGCATGACAAAATAATTAGAGTCCCAGAAATCAGGAAACCCAGCTGGGGTGCAAAATCACTTCAAACCTATTGATTTTTTCGCCTCCAACTTATTTCGCAACTTGTTTTCCAGATGACATAAGCGCCACGTCGCCAGTGGGCAGTGATAAGGTGAAAAACTCGCCACCCACTCCGCCGGAAGTTGTGAAGCGTGCGGAAATCAATTTGCAGCCGGAGACGGGAGCATCTTCGGATGCGCCGACGACGCCGCAGGATACTAGTGGTGATCCAATAATCGAGGCGTCCGACGAGAAGCCAGGACATGCGGTAAGTGGTGCACGGAATCGAATTAGCGGCGGGCGGGAAAAATTGCAAATTAAAGCTGCAGGTGTAGCGTGCAGCTCAGCGATGTATATGGGATCCAATTAAGAGGCAAGCATGGGGTGGTAGTGGGATGATTATCCTGACATCCTGCCGGGTTAAATTAGGCCAAAGCAGGAGAGCAACCATCCTTTGATAATGACAGCCGCCCACAAGCTGCACAGCACAGCACTCATTATCATCCTCCCAAAAAAAAAAAAAAAATAGAAAAGGCCAAAAGCGAAATGCGTTTAGCTCCATCGACCGGCTTTACTCATTGAAACACGCTGAGAATTTCGGAAAAACCGAGAGAAAGCACGGGAAAAGCTCTCCCGAAAGAGAAAGAGAGTGCCTCAGCCGGAAGCCTTTTTACAGGGTGTCCCATCCGAACAAAAAAGGGGCGCCTATTGATTTTTGGGGCGCTACGATGAACTTCACCCGGCTGGCTGGCTTGCTTGCTGGCTGGCTGGTAAGATTGGAGCTGGTTCGAAAGAGGAGAAGGTGGCTCTTTCAGGGGTTGCCTGGTAACACGAGCTGCCAGCAGCGAGCACGCGCCGGCCAGCTGGCGGGGAACGGGTGGTGAGATGCGGGAGGTGGGATATGGAATATGAGGACTCCAAGGGGAGAACGGCAGCTCAAAGTTGTTCAAGTGCCCGCCACTTGAGCGTAACAACTTTGCCGCTGCAGAATGGCTTGGAAAAAAAACTAAATCAATTTTCTGTTTTCCTTACTACTTGCAACAACAACAACAACAACAACAGCAGCAACATCCTGGGACGAGCAACTGGAGTCCAACGCCGCGACGCCCGCGCACTCCGCCGGCGCCTCAGAACTCGCCCGTTGGCTTTGGCCAGAGTGCGAACGTGCCACCTGCCTTGGCTCCTCTGCTGCAGCAGCAACAGCATCAGCAGCAATTGCAGCAGCAACAACAGGCCAACAGCAACCTTAAGCGATGTGCAACATCTGGCAGAAACCGCAGCAGCAACAACCGCATCATCGAGTGCGATCTCATTCCGAGCAAGAAATCAAAACGGAAGTCGGCCAAAAAGGAGGCTGTCGACAGTGAAAACACGGAGGCAGTGGAACCCATTGTTAGAGAACAAATTAGGGTGAGTGACTGACTACTAACTAATTGTAAATAAATTAAAAAAAATATAATAATTACCTTCAATCTCAATAGGATATAAAGCCCTTGCCGGGATTCCTGCAGGCCTTCGGCTCCACCGAAATCGGAAGGTTCTCCGAGAGATTCCTGCAGACGCCAGAATCGTTAGTTGAGCGATTGGCTGAGGAATACGCAGCCAGTACGCCCAGCCATTTACCATCTCACCCAGCTGGAGGCTACATCGAGTCCCCGGCCACGCCCACACATAACTACTATCCATACGATGAGCAGAACCAAATCGGTTATCCAAGGAACCGAATTCGAGGCTACGGCTACGAAATACCGGACTACATGGCGTATGAGCGATATGCGGCCTACGGAGCCGGAAGACCAAGAGCTCGCTATGGAGAGATCCGCTGCAACGGCTATTAAATGCGTTCGACCGATGTCGGACGGATCACATATAGCTTAGGGTTAGTGTTGTTGTAGTCGTGCATAGTCGTTGTCATTCGATATTCTCTGTGTGTGCCTTTTTCGGTCAAAATTGGACAATGAATTTCCCCCGAAGAGTTGTTGTTGTCGGGGGCATTGTTGGCAATGAGTTCGTTCAAAATTTACCACAACAAAGTAAGAAATACAATGAAAAAACAAAAGAAACAAGAAGCCAAAATATTGTTAGCAAGCCATCTAAATGTAAATGAATAATCAATTAAGTAGTTCAATGTATTTTAAATCGAAAGAGTTTTAAATCGATTCAGAGTGTAAGTTGAAATCTTGTCCCACTGTACATAAGAATGCATTTCGTATATGTAACACTAGATTTAGAAAAACTACTTGGGCAGTTGGTAAAGGGATCTAAAAGTTTTCGAGGCCTCCAGGAGTTCGGGGATATTTTTCTCAACTTCTACTTAAAAGTAATAAACACTCAAAATTGTTTACTGCACCGTTTCCGATTGGGAACTTTTAATGGGGCACAAAATTCCGAAAGCACCCCAAATTAATAAAATAAAACAGAGCAAAAATCTTACATTTAGCGAAAAGATGTGCCATTGAAAAATATCTTTAATTAAAAACACCATAATTTAGGAATTACGTTTATGTACAATACAAATACAAATTAAAGATTAGCTACGGTAATCTAAAGCCAGATAGTTAATTTTAAAGCAATGCAGTACATTTTAGTCTAGGACACTGACACTGACACACACACACACTTACACACAGATACAGATACACCCATACAGAGACACACTCGAACCACCGCACTAATTTGTACTTGGCAAAATTGATTTATTTTCTATCGATTTACTAACAACTTATTCATTTTCGAATCGATTTCTTTGTTGTATTGAGTGCCTTAATTTACTTGACTTGATTTCCAATATCTGTGCGTGAACAAATAAACGTAACGAATTTGTATGATTTACTTGTAGAGAAACAACCAAGTTCAGGTTTCAAAGGGGCCCAAACAAAATTTCAAATGCAAATCGAACAAATCAATGAAGAACAAAAACAACCGAATTACCAAAACGGGAAACAAGAAATCCAAAACACATCGAGCGACATTCAAAAATGTTTAATAGCGATTAAAAAACTAGTTAATATGTAAAGAAACTACTCACCAACAACAAAAAAAAAAACCAAAGAAAACCTTGTAGCGTTGACATTTTAAGCCAACTATTTGGTAGTCTTCAACAGAAACGAAGGATTAACAACCGAGGACGAAGCGAAAATAAACCAAGTATTTAGTATAATTAAGTCCGTGTGTAAATAAATATTTGAAAGTTTGAATTTTATGAAATAAATCACGCAAAACGATTAGCAAAGGATGTTGGTAAACAAAACGCTGACTTGTTGTTTACATTATTGTATTTTGGGACTTTTGTTTAACTGTTTTATTCGTTTAATTAATTTATAAATATTATTACATAACCTAGAAGTGTTTATTGTTTGTTTTAACTTTTGTGTGGGTTTGTGTGTTTAAATTAATTACAAAAATAGTTCAGTTGTAAGAAGAGCAGAATCGTAGTAATAATAGTAATTAGAATTTAGTTGAGCGGAAACGAAATAAGGATACGAAGGCGCCTGGAACTAAAGTACAAAAGCATACGTCTTGGGGTTCCAAAGAGCGATATATAGGCTTACGAACTAAACGAAAGCGGCGTGAATAGTTAGGAGCTGGTGAAACACATACAACTGAGCGATTGGGGGCATAAGGGTTTGAGTGTGGGGGGAGGGGGGTTTGGGTGCGGAGTTGGCTACAATTTTAGTACAATTTGCTGGTTCTATCGCTTTAGTTTCCGTACATGTATAAATAGTTTTTCTGCTCACAAGAGAGGGGCAATGGCCCTCGCTATTTCGGTTTGGGGGGTTCATTTGCATCCGATTTATATACGAATCGCATCGAACAGTTACACATTTATCGGATCATCGGTAATAATTAGTTATAAATAATTAGTTAATGTATTATATATCATTAAATGTCCGCCGCTCCTCACTTCCTTAGCTGGCCGAGTGGTGTCACTGCGTCCGTGTCTTATTTGTGGTGCTGGTGCAGGAACCCTGGCGAAGTCCCCCGAAATCATGACGACGATGCCGCCGACGAGTTCTTCGTCGAGCTGCCGCCACCGCCGCCGCCACCGATGCAGTTGCGCTGCTTCTCGATGTACACGTTGAGCAGCCGCACCTTGCTGGGATTCAGCACGGAGAGCTTCGGCTTGACCTTCTCCTCGCCGAGCACGAAATAGAGCTTGACGATGCAGAAGACCGCCGCCTTGCGCACCATCGATTGCGTGTCGTCCGCCGATCGCGCCAGATTCGGGAACACAATGTCCAGGTGGGCGTCCGTGATCTCCGAGCCGTGGTGCTCGGTCACCTCCAGCAGGATCTTGATGGCGCACAGATTCGTGGGGAACTCGCCCGTCGCAATCACCGGATTGACAATGTTGATGGACAGGTCCAGCGGCAGGGAAGGCGCTATCCTCGGTATCATCGAGTCGATGTCCCGCAGAGCCTCCTTGCTGTGCTGATAGCACTGGATGATCTTCAGCAGGATCAGCTCCAGGAAGTGCATCCAGTTGTGGCGCATCTTGCTGCTGCGCATGATCTTGCTCAGCACGTGCAGGCCAGCGATGACCACGTCCGTATGCTCCGCCTCCAAAATGTTCAGCAGCATCCGCATGATCGACCTGAAGTGCTTGTTTGGCAGCTCACAATTGCCGCCCTTGATGCAGATGCCCAGGTTGGTGAGCGACGTCTGTAGCAGCTCCACGGGCTGATCTTTTGTGAGGGTCAAGGCCACGCGCACCACTTCGCTCTCCATGAGGTCACTGGCCAAAATCAGCTCGCCGTTCTCCGCCATATTCAGCGAGAACGTGGGCACCTTGGCATCGCCCGTTGGCTGCGGCGACTTGGCGATGTGGGCGGCTCGATCCCGCTCCAGATTGTCCAGACGCATGGTGGCCGACTCCGGGGTATTCGACTGCGTGGTGTTGGCTGACGATTGCGTCTTGGAGTTGGAAGACAGGGAGGCACACGAGTCCTGCTGACCCTGATCGTGGTACTGCAGGTGTCCATTGAAGCCATTGGGCGCCAGCGCCGTCTGATACTGGCCGCCGAAGCAGTGCCGGATCTCCTCCGACGTCTTCTGGATATTGTGCTGAATGGCGTCCAGCTCCGAGGAGAAGAGCAGCTCCTGCTCCACGGACGACTGCCGCGAGCGGGGACTAGTGGAGCTCAGGCTGAGCTGGTGGTGGCTCTGCAGCGAGGCGAACGGTCCCACCGAGGGACTCTGCAAGGGCTTGGGACTGCTGCTGCTCAACGGAGAGCTGCTAGGCGAATTGGCACCCGAGTTGCCGCTTTGGCTCTGTCGGCGCATGTGCGACTGAATGCAGGAACGGGCCGAGTCCTGGTAGCCCTTTGGCAGGTTGGCCAGCAGCCGGGTCATCTGCGGAGTGTTCAGGTTGTACAGGGCCACCAGGCAGCTTCTGGCGTGCGAGCGCAGCTCCATCGACTTCTGGTCGCCCGCCTGCTGGGCCAGCTTGAGGACCGTCCGCTCGCAGGCCTGGCTCTGGTCGCTGGGGAAGTCGCTGCTCTTGCAGTACGTGTTGGCCAGTTCGGAGAGGAAGCGCAGGATGGCGATGCGCGTCTTGGTTGTCGGCGTCTGCGTCGAGTCGGAGATAATCCTGAAGAGCTCCTTGAGCTGGAGTTGCGTGGGGAAGTATTCGTGCACAACCTGCAGCGTCTTCCAGATCTTGCTGTGCATCGAGTTGAGAAGATCGGTGCCCAGCTTGTTGAACAGGCGCGTCAGCAGGATGAAGAGCCAGTCGTGCAGCTCGGGAGCATGCACCAGAATCAGCTCGGTGACCGTGTCCAGGAACAGCGAGTACACCTTCGTGTGCGTGTCCATGAACATCTTGCGGAACATGTCCAGGACGCACTGCAACTGCTGCTGCGTGAGCTCCTTGCCGTCGGCCAGATACTGGGTGAGGCTGATCAGCCCGTCCTTCCGTTCCGACCAATGTGTCGAGGCGCAGAACTGAATGATCGTGTCGATGTCGTCAAAGGGCGCCCGCTGCGTGCTCCAGTCCAGTCGGGTGTGGCTACCACTCAGCGAATAGTTCGATTTGTTGCCCCTCGTGTAGCTGGAGTCAAAGGATCGCTCCGAGCACACGGAGCTGGCCTCGGAGTCTATGTCATCGGACTCGTCTCGTCCCAGCAGCTTCCTGCCCATCCGCATTCCACCGCTGCGCATGTAGTCTCCGGACACATAGTCCGGCTGTCCGTCTTCGCCGACGCCCAGTGTGTGCTCTGCTTCACGGGATTGGGCCAGGAGTCGTGCTGCCGCCGAGGGCCTCACGGGATTATTCCTCTCCGGCGTTCGCCGTGCTCCCGCTCCCGTCGAGTACATGCTGCGCTTCATCAGGCCACCGCCTCCTGATCGAGTTGGACTCGTTTCCCTGGAGCTCGCCGTACTTCTGGGTATGCCAGAGGCCTTCTTCGGTATGGCGCCAGTGGCTCCGCGATAGTAGCTACTAATTCCGCCGTACTGATCCCGCAGCTTTGTGCTTGGCGAGGTGGAACGTGATCCTGGCTGTGACTGCGAGACACCTGCTCGTCCGCGAGGGCGCGGCGTCACCGATCCCGGTGTGGTGGCCGGCGTGGCACCGCTGTTGGAATTGAGGCGTGGTCTGGGCAGCGATCCACTGGCCGCCGCCCCCGTCATCGGTGTCTGGTTGGAGTTGCTCGGTCCCAGCGGCTTTCTTTGCCTAGAATAAAGTGTATATTGAGCCCGGGCTTTGGCTCTTTGGGCAGCCGCCGTGTCCACGGCTGAAATGGATCGCATACTGGCCGCGGGCTTCTGCAGGGTCCCAGGAGTTCGGCCGATGCGGGATACAGTGCGTCTAGTTTCCGGCGGAGCCACACTTCCTCCTCCTCCTCCGCCGCCACCCTCGCGCTCCCTTTCCAACGCCCGCTGGGCGGCTATGTCCAGAGTGCCATATATCTGATCCGCCAGATCGGGAAAGTGCCGCCTGAACTCCCAGTAGGCACACCTGGAATGCCGGCGCGCATCGCAGTCCGCATCACCGATGGATTTCTTCAATGTATCCCGCAGAATGGTGGCATGCCGCTCCAGCGCCTTCGTCTGCCACTCCTCGAAGAGCAGCACCATCAGCTCGCAGAGCGTGGACCTAATGTCCTTTGATTTTGATTGATTCAGTGTGTCCGTGTAGATCTTGAGCAGTTTTGGCGCATGTGTGTACTTGATGATGTACTTCAGGGCTATCGTGGAGGCCGAAGCAATGACCTTGGCGCTGTTCTGGATCAGATTGATAAGCTGCTCCAGAATGCTCCAGCAGAAGGCATCCAGTTTGTTCCGCAACGTCTTGGACATGTAGGCGATGGTGATGCACGCCTCGCGGATCACCTGTGAGCGCAGCTCCTCTTTGAGGATGTCCAGGAAGCTTAAAGACAGCTCCTTCAGCTGGACGGCCACAAACTGCGGCTGGGTGTGGTAACTGAGGATGAGCAGTGCCCGGATCTTCTTCAGAGCATCCACTCTCTTTTCCCAGTCGGCGTTCTTGTCGCTAATGATCACCAGTATTTGCTTGTAGATGTCGTCCATGTCCTTGGCGTGGAAGATGCTCAACTGCGGGACCGCCTCGAAGCTTGATTCAAAGGTCTCCATGGTCACGGCACCGGCATCACCGCTCACGTCGTTTACACTCTGTTTGGAGCGCAGCGATGAAGAGATGGCCGAGTGCAGAGGTCGCTTGATCATCCGGGTGGGTCGCTCCCTTATCCCGATGTTGTCCGCCTCGTCCAAACCAACTCCATTGCCATTGCCATTGGTGTTTTTAAGGGCGGAAGGCAGCAGAAGGCCCTCCTGCTTCACCTGATCGAATTTTTGCTCCAGCATCGCCAGTTTCGAGGCGGGCACGTCATCCATGCGACGCAGGTCCGGCCGCAGGCGATCCCCCACATGCTTATAGATCTCCACCAGCGTCTGGATGGCCGCTTCTCTCACGTTCACCGTGGGATCGCCGAGGAGGGCACAAACTGGCGGAATATAGACGCGCACGCTGAGCTGCTGGGTGCCGTACTCGTGGAGAGCATTCACTATCGTCTGCAGGAACTCCTCGCGCACCTTGGCGTTCTTGTGCTTGAAGCAGCTGGCGGCCAGTTTGTCGATCAGCACCTGAGGCGGAAGCACTCGGTGCTCCATGAGGTCGCGCAGCAGGAGTTGCGCCTTCTCGCGGACCGTGTCCCTGCTGTCGCCCAGCCGATCGATCACATGTGGCAAAACGGTCGCTGTGTATGCGTTGAAATCGCTGCCCAGGCGCTTGATCAGCTCCGAGAACGCCTCCAGGGACTTTTGTGCAATCTTAAAGTGGCTGCCCGTCAGCCATGGCATCAATCCATCGATGAGGAAGCCCATGTCCATGCAGACAATCGAGTTTGTGTCGTCGCTCAGGAACGTAACCAGATCCTCGGCGAGCTGCACCTTGACGCGCATATCCGCCTTGGGCATCTGCTGGATGAATCCATCCAGATCGCTGGGCTTTCGGTAGGCCATCTTTCCAGCTAACCTTCGTTCGCGCTGCCGCAAGCTGCAATAAACCAGGAATTCGTGTTAGTGTGGCTGCAGTGTTTGGCAAATTAAATTAAAGTTGCATGAGGCTGGTGCAAATTTTGGCGCAAGGATGCAAGGACCACGAGAGGCTATTAAGTGTGAAATTGATGTGCAAATCGAAGATTTCAGAGCGGCGAAATAAACTGTGTTTTTCGTGTTTGACTGAATGTATACAAATGTGAGGTACAAATCAAACTAACATTTTAAATTAGAAATCCGTATTTGGGATTTGTAAACTACTAGGCGAGAAATTTGTTTATACTTTATATTTGAGGATTTTACCAATTACTTCTTAAGTAAATAATAGCTTTAGACGAAAGGCCGAACATATAATATTTTTATAGCAATAAAAAAGTTCTGCTTTATTTACCTAAGCAAGCCTATTCAGTAGAAATTTTTATTTGTTTATGTTCCTTAATGTTCCAGGTACAAATTCCCCGAAAGTTCAACTACAATGAATTCTATGCTCTTTAAAGGAGTTAAGTTGAAGTGTAAAAGATTTCCCCAATAATAAAAGAAAGTTTGTTGGCCTAGAGATAAAAGGAGTTCGATTATAAATGATCTATTGTCAAGAAATCATATAGAGTGACTTATAGGATGCTTTATCCTCTCTGATGAAATATTCCCGCCAAATCCTGTACATACCTATTTATCGCCTATCAAATGGGGACTGCTCGTGCGCAGTAGAGCCTTAAAAAGCGGTAAGAAGCAGCAACAGCCGCAGTTAGTTGGCCAACAAATTGCTGGTGAAGTCACAGGCCAGAATAACGATAAAACGAGAGAGGAGTGGGCTCAAAGAGAGCTGGAAAAGTAGGTGAACGTCTGTGCGGGTGGGGATGGGCATGGATACATGGCTACATGGATACTCAGATACTTGACTGCCAGAGTTGCAGGAGGGTTTTGGGGGACCACAGACACCCAGATGGTGGGGCGTTGTTACGTGCACGAAACGTGAATCATCTCAGGGGCTCTGAGAGCGTGACGAAGTCAGGGGCAAAGTGGGTGGCGGACAGGAAGCAACGTGCTCTGTCTATGGATTTATATATGGGGATTCGAATAGCAACATTTTTGGCATTGTGCGCTGCCGTCACAAAACAACAATTTGCGTGCGGCGAGTAATATTATTTTAATACACAGAAACAAAAAAACAACTCAGGTTTCAATTATTGAGCTTTTAGTTTCATAATTCAATTGGGGATCCTTTGAAATGTGTATTTGCCACGAACAACCAGTCCCATTTAAATTTTGAATTATGATCTCTAATCTTATTAGTATATGCAAATCCACAGTTTTTATTTCTGTGTAAAATTGGAATGGGTTGAATGAGATAATATATCTAAATTACTAAGCAACAACAGCGACTTGTTGAGAGAGTGAAAAAGAGAACGAGAACTCAGTGGAGAATTCGTTTCTCACTCGACTTAAAATTAGCATTTGCATACGCAATTTTCTATTTATAAAAAACATCAACAAAAACTCGCTTTCGTAACTATTGTTCAGGGCTTTTCACACCGATAAGATATGAACTTGTTAATCAAAGTGCTGGTATTCGAGGTTAAATTTAACCTAACAAAATGTTTGCCAGCAGCTGGCCGTCCGACTTTTTGGTTAATTAATTGTTGAAATATTGCCGGCGACGACGTCATTCAGCGGTTAAATGTCACGAATAGAGAGTAAAAGAGCGGAAAAGTATCTTATTTTAACACAATTTTGTTTTTGTACTTTTGAGATACGCACTCTCGCACACACACACACACACATTCACGTATATACCTATTTGCAAATCCGGCTGCGCTGCTTCTTCTCCTTCCTTCTCTTCGCTGCTTCTTTGCCTTTTTGTTTTGGGCTGGGCCGCAGCAGCAGTAAAAAAAATTCAACAACTGCTAGTTGTTGTTGCTCTTTGGCAAGCCGAAGAATTGATTTTCCAGACGTCGGTTGGAAAAAGCGTTGCCAAACACCGCAAATACGCGTAACGAGTTGACTAAATTAACTTTCGAGCACAGCCAAATTGAACAATTGCCCCCCAAAAAAAGTAAAGCAGAGATCACAGTTTTGCTCTTCCTATATCGCTTTGTTGCTATTGTTATTGTTGTTTTTGGGGCAGCGCAGTCAGTTTCACTTTGTCATTGGTATTTGTTGTTGTTGTCTCTCTACCGTTATTGCTGTACTGCAGCAACAACAAAAGCTCACGAATTCCAACGTCTTCGGCAGCGCTAGTTTTTCTCCCTCTCTCTCGCTCACTCCTTTGGGTGAGATGACGCGCTTGGGTCAGAGGTTTGGGTTTTGCACTTTGTCTGCGGTCGCCGAGCGTTTGCTGAGCCCGGCAAACATCACATTTTGCAGCGCCTCGGCACCGGAACGCTTGTTGGCCACGGCTTGTGGATAATTACACGGTTTTAGCTTGATTTTCGGCAGCGTTTCGCCACCCCGTTGCGTTGCGAAAAAAGTTTTCAGTGTTACTAAATGCCAAAAAAGTGTTGCTAAAGACCGATAAATACACCGGTGTTGCTAAGTTCAACAAAGGGTTGCTAAATACTGAAATAAATAATACCAAAACGTCGATATCCGATATTTTTAGTTTGGTCACTCTAAGTACCATCTCCAATTGGAGTGATATATCTGCAGGCGTTTTACATCCCTGGTCGACTTAATCAAAACTATCGAAATTCAAAAATTGGCGACTTTTAAAATTTATGAATTGGTGAACGTTTTTTAATCTGGCATGAAAAGGGATCGAACAATCGTCAATCATCAAAACTTTAATTTAAAAATGTAATTTTTTTTTTGCCATGTTCTATTGATCATTTTTAGGCAAAGAAGCGGATTCTTAAAAAAAATATTACATGAAAAAGTCAATCATTACTAAATTTAAAAGTATGACTTCTGAAGAATGATTCTGGAACACTGTATGAATTTAATTTAAAATGTTTTGAGATTCTAAAATCGGATTAAAATTAGATGGGTTGTGGGCTCGAGATGTTTAACAATTTACAATACAAATTACAAGTGTATCAAGCCTCAATTAACCGGCGCGCCCTATAATCAGAAACCCCTCTACTGATAGCAGCGAAAGCCCATCCTCAGTGGGTTGATTGACGTTTATATTTAGTAAATAGCAATATTGATTACAATGCACTTTAATTGTAATTGATGCCAGCTGGTTTCCAACTTAGTTGTCAAGTGAGGCGCACGTGTAGGTCGTCGAAACATATGGCAGAATAATTATAGCCGTAAGCCCGACGCCTCTACGGTGTGCTAAATAATTGCATATTTAAATAAATTGAAAAACTCTCGAGTTAACTGCCAATAAAATAAATTTATTGTATATGCTTCAGCGAACGCTGATTGGAACTGCTCTGACTAAACTAATTTAATTAACACTTTTATCAGTCTTTATTGACCTGGTGGACGGCCTGAGCCCGTCCGGATGGATCCTCCGGACAGCCCCAATCGAGGCGGGGCACCCATCTCACCACGGTTCGGGCAGCAGATTCTCCGGGAAACTGCTCAGCGAAAATGCAGCGATAGTAGTAGGCCTCTTTGGTGGTGGGCGTGTTGAAGGGGAACCGCAGAGCGGCTCCTGCGAACTCCTCATCGCTGACATGACTGGTGGCCACCCGCCGGATGCTGTCGATCCAATCGTAGCCCACTCCGTCGGAGAACTGCTCCTTCTGCCGCCAAAGGACATCGTCGGGCAGATAGTCATCCGCAAAGGCAGCTCGCAGGACATACTTTTCCAAACGCTTTTGCTGCTCTCCTCCGAATTTGTTTAGGGGTCCCGGTATCTTGTCCTCCGGTCGGATTTGCATCACATGGTTGACGAATCCCGTGTCCAGGAAGGGCACCCGCAACTCCACTCCCTTGGCCATGGCCACCTTGTTGGCCCTCAAGCAGTCGGATAGATGCAACTGCCGCACTCTCTTCACCAGCTCCTCGTGGAAGTCCTCGTAGTTGGGAGCCTTGTGGAAGTACAGGTACCCGCCGAAGATCTCGTCTGCTCCTTCGCCCGAGAGGATCATCTTAATGCCAGTGCTCTTGATGTATCTGGCCAGCAGTAACATGGGCAGACTGCACCTCACAGTGGTCACATCGTAGGTTTCCAGGTGGTAAACTATATCCCGAATGCCATCCAGAGCTTCGTCGATCTCGAAGACGATCTCCTTGTGATCGCTGTCTATATATTTGGCCACTCGCCTGGCGGCCTGGAAATCGGGTGCGTCTTTTAGGCCCACAGAAAAGGTTTTCAACCGGAAGTTGGGATCCCTCTCCCGCATTATCTTCGTGGCAATGGAGGCAATCAGACTGGAATCCACTCCGCCGGACAGTAGAGCTCCCAAGTGGACATCACACTGAAGATGACTGCGCACTGCAGACTCCAAATTGGCTCGCAGTAGAGCCAACTCGCAGGTTTGCTTTGGCACCGTTTTGATCCAAGGCTGCTCGAACTGCCAGCAAGTTTTCAGCTCACCAACCCTTCCGAAACGGGCCTCGCCAGGTGTGAAAGTTTCCACCTTGGAGCAGGTATCCACCAGGCATTTCATCTCGGAGGCAACCCAAAGGTTTCCAGCTGCATCTTCACCCACATACATGGGAATTATACCAAAAGGATCTCGAGCTAGCAGGACTTCTTTAGTCCTTCGATCGTAGAGGGCAAAGGCAAACATTCCGGTGATGTACTGCAGAAGATCCTTTCCGTAATCCTTGTACAGTTCCAATATGACGTGGCAATCGCTTTTCGGTTTGTAGGAGCCATGATTCTTCGCTATTTCCGCCGAAAGTTCCAGATAGTTGTAGATCTCCCCGTTGGCCACCAGAATCAGGTTGCCATCCTCGGAAACAAACGGCTGATCACCCATTTCCACACCCACAATTCGCAGGCGTTCATGGACCATGGCCACTCCTTCTGAGGGAATCACGTGGACTCCAGTGGAATCCGGACCACGATGCCGCTGCTTTCCACTTTGTCGGTAGGCCAGCTCACGCAAACTATGTTTGCTGCCGTGCAGGATTTGCGGGGGGATCGGTTCCCCATCCCTCGAAAATATAGAGAATATGCCGCACATTATTGGTTTGTATTTTTAGTAACTCAATTTAAGTCGTATGCGAGACCCGCACTGGAGAGCGTTTTAGAACTGAATGAAGGTATTTAGTCGCGAGCGCTCGTATTTATTGCCACGGCTCTCTTGGCTTTCTCCCTCAAAAGTTCTCTTTACAAATTCTCCCTCTCTCTCTCTCTATGTTTTACTCTCTTATTAATCATTGCAGGTGAGTTACACGTGCTACTAGTTGCGTCTCTCAGTTTCTAGAATCACGCATGTGGTCAGTGGAAAACCATAAATTCACCGAAATGTTGAAAACTTATCAAAAATAGTGTTAATAAAATTTTATTTTGTTTTTGATTGTTTAATTGGAACAGCTGTCGGCTGCTAAAAAATTGATTAAAAATATGCCGGGTCTGTTGTTTACCTCGCTCTTGGCTTTTAATCTCTCTCAATTCTCTCGGTTCACAGCTGATTTTTCTTTATCAACGATTTCGTCATCCAATTTATGCTTTCCCTTAGGGTACTCTAAAAAACAAAAATGTTTGAATTGTATGCAAAAAAAACATTAGCTTTATAGTTACCGGAAAAATGGTAATTTTTTCTTACTAAAATACAATAAAAACGAAGTTCTCTAAAGTATTGTTCAAAGCATTGATTTATTGGGAGACGTACGATCCCAACAAAATGCACACCTGTATTTACGAGTCAAGATAAGGGTGTAGACAGACCAGCAATTCAATAAATTGCCGTACTGTATATATCTTTCCCTGTTAGTCCATTTGAATGTGTGCCAGCAAACATAAATAAAGAGTGGCGCTTCAAAACAACTAAGAGGGAGACCGGTTTATTACTCTTTGAAATTGTTGTTTTTCGCTTTGCCAATGTTAAGATATGCTGAATGTTAAAGTTAATTCATTTATCAATTTCTAGCATGAATTTTTATTCTTGATAATAAATATAGTTCAATGTTCTGCAAAATTAGTATAAATTTAAGGATACTAAAGAACGAAATTGCTTTATTTTGTAGCAATGAAAATAAATACATTAAATTACTGAACGTGTATTGAATTCTAGTATTTAACATATGTATTTCTATTTGTTTGAATATCAGTTTGATGTTTTAAGATGAACTTAATAATAAATAGCAAATTGAAAATATCACATGTACTGTTATTTTTTTAAAAAGCTCCTGCCCATTTCTTGACCATCTGTACAGCCACAATGTTACCAAAAAGCTTTCACTAACAGCTCGCTGTTAGCTAACATGGCGCCAAGCCAACCAGCTAACAGGTGGTTTGCCGCTGGTCCACGTCGCTCGACTTTGACTTCGGTCCATGCGATAAATATGTCAAGTGTCCGCAGATAAACAGAAATCTCCGGTGTTTAATTGTGCAGACGTTTTAATTACGCATCTAACACTGACGAATTTGGATAGTGATGTCATAACAAACACTGCGAGCCACAGTAAATAACCGAGATTTACAACCCGCGAGGCCCGAAGTCCGCTCCTGGACGTTCGGCGTGCGCGCTTGTTGCTTCCAAGTCGTTTTGTCGGCAACGAGCGCCATTCAATTCAGTTGCCGATGGAACGCGACACTGTGCGGCAGGAAGTTGCGTATACGACGCATTGTCACTCGGCAAGCGACGCGGATCGGAAGTCCTTTTTTACTCGCGCGCTCCTCAAATTCGCTTAAGTTTGGCCTTTTCAAAAAGGCCCGCCAAGGTGCTAAGTGCGTGCAATTAGTCGAAAATCAAATTAATTGAAAATCATTTCAAATTGAGTTACGTTGTTGCAAAAGGAGGCTGGGATGATAAGCCGAAAGTTCAAAAGTGAATTTTGGTGGAGAGGTGATTCCCGCCGGAAATTGTGCGTAACAAATAAAACGCTCAAAGGCGAAGAAGCTTGTGAAGTTTGAAAGAGTTTAAAAAGTTTTTAATAAGTGTGTCACAAAAGAGAAATAAATTGTTTAATAATGTAAAACAATACCAAACTAAATATAAATAAAACTTAAGTTAAACAATGTTTTTAATGCAACTAAATTGAATTAAATTATATATTTTAAATTATTGTACCCTAAAAAAACAACTCAAGTTTTTTTGTTGAACGCGAGTGTCAATTAAAGTATCGGAATTTATTGGACCCTGAATAATTTAATTAAAATGCTCACTTGCCACTGAAAATTAATTGAAGACATTTCAATCTTCGAATTCAAAAACTCATCAGAAAAGTTTCTCGTGCTTTGCTGACTAAAAACCATAAAAAACCGAAAACAACTTTCAACACGAAAAGTGAAGGTAAATTTATGTGCTCCTCAAAAATATCAAATCAAAATCAAATAAAACAAACTTTTTATTGGCGAGGAGCCCGAAAATCGAAGGGAATCAAGCATGACCTATTACTGTCACGTCCGTTTCCGGGATTCCAGATTCCGCATAAGATGGGCAAAAAAACACGAGCCACCAACTTTTGGGTCACGTTTGCTCTGCGGACGAATTCAAATGGTCCAAGACCCATTTACCAGATCGAGATGCACAGTGCCGTAAAAACAGGGGCAAATAGAGCAACCGCCAAGTCGGGGCCAATTAATTAAAAAGTTTTCACGCGGCCAAAATCAAATCAACAATTTGTCCAAGTATTTGGGCGTAAAATTCGAATTGGAAGTTCTTAACAATCGAATAGCTGAAGGGAGATTGATGGTGTACATTTAGAAAAAATCTTTATAAAATAAAGATGTAGTCTTCAAAAGAAAAGGCATGGGAATTTTTACTTAAATATTATCGAATTTTGACCAATATAAAATATCTTAAATGATTTTCAGCATTAAGCAAAGAAATTTAAAAACTAAATACTGAAAAATGTTTTAAAGTGTTTCTTTAGGAACATACATATTTTCCCCTATGCCTTTATTTGGTTTGTTGTTGTGTGATATGTTGTGAGTATACGGATCCGGATCCGGATACGGATGCCGATGCGGATGCGGCAGAAATGGATAACCGTGTTGTCTGCTGCCGGCGGAAATCAATTCGTATTATTGCAGCCTCAGTGAGCTGCCCAAAAAACTTTCTGCGCAGCGGGCAACTCTTCTTTGGGTCCGCAACGTAAATAAATTGGTGGTTTTAAAAGCCGCTCGAATCGAGGGTTGATTAGAAGGTGAACGCTGGCCGGGCCCTTTGGCCACCTGCCGCCCACAACGAGTTGTCTAGCCGGGCGAAGTGCTTGACCCGAGGTGACCCTAAAAATAGGCGAGTGCAGAATCCACTCGGACTATTTTTAATCGCCCGCTCGCTCGCTGTCGCTATCTTTAAGCTCTTAATTAGTTTTTTTTTTTCTCTGTGGCCCAGTGTGACGTGACACATATTCGGCTTTTGGCACAAATAGTTGAATGACCAGCGACGAAACAACGAAAGCGTAGTCTACTTTTCAGACCAAAAGGACATGAACTCAGCTAATTGGTATGTGTGTCTGTGTGCTGATATGGTTGTGTGTGTGCTTGTAAGCGTATGTGTGTGGCTGTTTGTCATAATCAAATATCTTAACACGCAAGCTCAGACCTTTTTCGCTCCTTTTGGCCGGGTTTCACCCCCTGTTCTGGACCCTAATGACATGCCCACTAATCGGGGCAAAAAGTTGCCTCTGCTGCAGTTCTTAATTAGCAATTTGACGCATTATGCTGCCGAGCTTGCTGGCATGTGCGGGCATTAAGCCCGATCCTGTCTGCAGGATTAGTCCCTGAAAGGTGAAATTAACTCTGGGCCCAGACTGACGAGAATGATGCATAATGAGCGGCGAGTTCCTGGACAAAAAAAGAAGGTGGCTTAAAGAGATACATCTGGCCAGAGAGGGTCAAAGGCCAGGGCCGCGGCTAATAGGTAGTTAATTTAATCCCCTCTGTAAGCTGGCACTACTTAAATTAAAGCCGAGAGAAAGCGGAAAAGCTGTGTGCTGAACTTGAGTAAAAAATACAAACGAAAAGTGGATTGTTCATTTGAAAGTGTGCAAAATCTTATTGCTGATATAATTAAATACACATTTAAGAGATATAAATTGATTTAAATTATCCTTCTTCCCCAAAATTAAATAAGTTTCTTTCTGTGTAAAGAGCCTCCTTAGCATACATATTTAAAAACCGAACATTTATTCATTTAACGTTCAATAAGCCACCGCCCATTGCAGTTGGCTTCATTGTCAATCACTCTGTCCAATTGAAATTCATCCATAATGAGGCAGCTCGAGACAGCCTTGACATTGAGATACAAGATACAAGATACTAGATACACGCTACACGCTGCACTGAGTGGCCAAAGCCAGGGGCGTTTACAAATGTATGCCCAGGGATAAAAGAGAAATACAAACATTCTGCAGTTATTTTTATGATCGAATCAATAAGACGCATTGGGAAGGTCAAGTTCTGACTAGGATTTGGATTTTCTTTAAGGTTGCCCTCGGCGACCTGTTGAACCGCCACGAGAAATCCGATCGAATGCCTTAAATATTAGCTAGAAAACCACTTGGACGCTTTTATGGCATCTCGACAAAGTATTTAATGAATTTATTTATGCTTCAATCACACAATTTAATTCAATTCGCGCTGGGCTCCCCCCGAAAGGAAGACGATTCGATGGCAGAGGCCTTGAAAACAACATTCATTCAACTTTGGGGCCATGGCGGCGATGGCGGTGTGCGGTGGAAATTTAATATGCCCAGCGACAAGTAAATAAAATAAAAGTAAAGTATCCGCCGGGGAGGGATATCGCGGCGTATACTTAATATACTTTACACCGCAGCTAGGCTGAAAAGTTTACCTCAGCCAGCGGGCCACGTGTCGCTAAGCAGCTCACAGCGAGTTCAAAAAGATAACTTTTTGTAACTTTATGTCATACGAGATAAATGACAGAATAATTGTTCCTTCAGCCGCATTTAATTTAGTTTCATCTCGACTAGATTCTTTGCAAGTTTCTCCTGGCCCCGAAAAGCAATTGGGGATTGGGGATTGGAAACTGGGGAGATTGGGCCAGAAAAGGGTACTTGACACACCGCTCCCCAGACGACAGGATCCGGTTGGCCTTTGTGTGTGTGCGTTGCCAACGGAAACTTATGGCTCAGCAGTTTCGGCAGCGCTAATTGTCCTGGTTGCTGGTTGCTGTTACTGTTACTGCCACAGCTCTTGGCTCAAACATTGTAGCCCAGTTTTGGCCAGGCCCAAAACTTGTGACCACAAAACCAACAATTGCATTTAATCCTGACTGGAGGATACTCTCAAATGAAAAGTTAACAATAATGCGTGAGGATGAGTAATACAATTTGGAATTTAATTACAATATTGACAATTTTTCTTTAGGGTACAATTAAGTAAACTATATCATCAATACCGACTTTATTTATTAAAGAAGCTTGTATATGTAACAATAGTTAATTGAAGTGCAATAAAGTACAAGAAAAACATTTGTGAGTTTAGAAAGACCTAATCATTGAAAAGCTCTATAAATAAAGTTTGTTTTAGGGCATATAAAATCCCATTTAGGATAATCCCACCTAGAATACATATTTGTGTACCTAGTTGCCTTTTGTTTATGTCTGTCAAATTGCTGCCAAGGCTGTGGGCTGCAATCGAAAAAGAGGAGGAGGAAAGCCAAACCGAACCAAAACAAAGCGGAGCACCCGAAAAACTGCAACAACCGGGGGAAAACTTTCTCCCAACAACTGGCTGGCGGTTTTGGCAGACGCAACTTTTTCCCTCGCCCCCCTCCGAAATTTTCCGTTCAGTCGTTAGACAAATAAATCTGACAAAAGTCTGCCCCAGAAATCACTTAAGCTGCCTGGGAAAAGATATAATTCCAAAAATCCATGAACAGAACATAAACAAATTGTAAAAATAAATGTGTAGGTATGCCGAACAAAATTGTTGGCCAGTCCATCGTGTGGCGGTGTCAGAAATATTGATTTGAAAACAAACAATTAGCTAATACCGAGCTTTGGCCGCCTTAAACTGCATTCTTCGCTGGCTGATGCCAATTCTGGACTTAGCCTGTTCTGGCTAATTCAATGGCTTTGGGCGCCTTAAAAGGCACCGAACATAAAGTCCATTTAAGCGGAGTGTCATAATATAAACCTCCGAATGACTCACTGTTCGCCAGCCAAGCAGAAAACTACAAAAAAGTGATAAAATTAAATTCTCGCTGTTGAATGGTTCAAAGTAAAGATACAGATACGCTACACAATTAAATGCAAACATTTTTAGTTGCCTGACTTTGCTTTGCTTTCTTCTCAGTTCTGTTTACCCTCCTATTCACTCTTTTTTCGCAGTTTTAATGGGCAACAACAAGAGCGAAATCCATTCATATGTGGAACATTAAAATTTACAATTCCCAAACACAGTAAACGGGCGCAAATGCTACCAAAAAAAAAAAAAGAACAATTCAGTAGTAAAACGTTCGGGGGCGTTTGCCAAGAATATCTTGTTGTCTATTTACTTGTGAAGCTGATAAAAATTCACTTTATTCACTTTGGCTGTTTATTTGCTTAAGCACAAAGTGGCGACATCGCAGACTGCATTCGGATATCTCAAAGGGGATGAGTTCACTGAAGTGGCAAACAATAAAACGCAAACTGGTAGACAAATATGAAACTTTAACTGCATTTGCAAGTGCAGAGGAGTGGGATGTGTGTGTGGCCATCAAGGGGGATTCTGCAGAGAGCTTCCTAATCCAGCTGGAAAATGGACGACAAAGTTGCAGAATTCGAGTGCAGACTCCAGGGGAACTTCGTTTTGGCCATATTGAACACGAAAAGGTAAAAATGAATTGAAAAGAAATTTGTTTGTTACCGAAATTGGTTTGTTTGTAGTCCTGTAAAGATTTATTTAACAAATTAGAAATATAAAACGAAAAATATTGCATTTGTTTTACTTAATATTTATACCTATATAAAACAATATAGGAACATTATTGAAATTTTTAAATGCATTTTAATTTGGTTTGTGAGGTAAACATCTTGGTTTTTAAACCATGAAAAGAAATAGACTTAAAACTATACATAAACATCGTAACCTAAGCCCTTCTGACAACTTTGTATAGGACAGCATACTTTTCTTTATTCCCTTTGTTTCCTTCACTTTCTGTCAGATGTTGAGAGTTAGCAACTGTTCTGTCCAACCTTGTTGCAATTCAAGTTGGTAGAGTCCTCCAACAAGTTATTGTTGCCATTCGATGATTGTTTACCTCCCTGTAACAATTGTAAACACAGCACACGCACTCTCATGTTTCTCGGTAAACACCGAAAATAAAAAGAAATAGTT